ACCGCTGACGTCGTCATGAAAATTGGGCAGGCAACGACAATTTTACATCTGCAGAATTAGCGTCGAAAACTCGACCAGTTCAAAATTTACTCGCTTATCGAAAACAAAATCAAATGGAGTTTTATTTCATGCTCTGATAAAATATCTTAAAGGATTATTAATTAGATACTGCTCATATAGAACTATTCACTAGGCTCACTACACATAATTTATATAGTGGCGTTATTTTTATCTGTCGATTATATATAATGTATCTATGCGCGTTCCGATTTTTCTTTTCGACTGACTCCTACGGAGCGCGGGGTTTTTGCGCATTTGCCGAGCTAAGCCCATTCTACTTGTCCGTCACCATATTTACAAACATTAAGGAAATATAGATCTCTCATTTAAAATTTTCCTACTTTTTGGTTGATGGTACATAGCAGGAAACTTTTTTAAAATTTAGAATATTAGTTATTATAATCGATTTTGATAACACTTTCATACTGAATCGGAGTAATGAAATAGAATGGGTGTATTTGATTGAAATTTTGAAGCAGAAAATGTTTTTTGTGCGGATTTTAAAAGAATTCTATATATCTTATTATTTATGCCTTTCGAGAAACTAAATTAAAATTATCAACTTGATGAAAAAACCTAAGCTTTTTCCTTTTTTTAAAATAAAAATACTAATTTCTTCAAGATATTAAATATCTAAACCTAGTCGCAGAAAATGGATTTTCAGGTTATCGTAGATATATAAGTAATACTACATTTTCTGGTCTCAATATTGAGTTATAATTCACTTATTTTATTTTACGAGGAACGAAATTACCCACGTATTAAATCAAAGAAACGATTGGGGCACAAACTGTTGTGGCAAATTAGTAACAAAAAAAGGGGGGGAGCACCTTCCCCAATCCTGGAGTAATTGAAAACGTGTGGGTGGATATGATGTGGTCGAATTAATCACGTCCCTTCACAACGCGTTTTATTTGTTTTTCTTTTTAATTAATCTTGTGACGCAGTTGTAAGTTATTTGTTAAAGTTCATTCATTAGTCGTTTTTGTAAAACATATTTTTCTGTTCCCCTTACTCTAAAATACGCAATTATGCAATGATGAGGGGTACGCAAGGTGTCTCTTTCAAATGACTTCATTCAATACGGTCACGGGTCCAGTACCGGAAACTTAAGTCACAGGTTGGCAACTCACATTCGTACATATTTATTTAAAACACTGGTGCTACTTACACCTTTGTAACTTCCGATGGGTATGCATATTTTCTGTATTCATCGCGTGTATTGAAGTATAAGCAATACGTTCATAAACTTCTTATTAACTTCTTCAAACACTACAACTTTTGAATAGAGTGTTGTCTCAAAACTGCTTGCTTAAAAAGATAACTTTCTTCCCTATAATTTTTGGTAAACCAGGTATGCTTAAATGTGGAATGGAGTTTGTATTACTATTTAGTAAATTAGTCAAAACGGACATTTATGTTATTTCTTTAGTTTAAGCAAGTGTAAGAACATCATCAATATGTAGGTTTAACTTTAACATAAAAAAATGTTCCTTTTCTCAGTGTATTTTATTTTCTTTATTGTATTTTACATTCCAGTCATATTTCTTTTCATTGTGCCGACTTTTTTTTTTCAAAAATTCCTTTTTTTGCGTTTCTAAAGAAACTTGGGAACAGTGAAAGCTCTCAATACGGACACCTCTATTAGGCGGATACTTTTCTTTAAACGGACATATTCCTGGCTTAACAAAAAATTACCATCCTTAAACGGACTTGAACGTCCAATAACAGGACAACACAATGCTAAAATATAGTATATATTATAACTTTTTCTTAATCCTATAGGGGAATTACCTTTTTCATTTTCATATCATTTCGTATTATTCATTACGCCGTGCCTTCTAGTTTTATCTTGCAAGCAAATACGATAAGTGGATTCCACAATTTTTAAAATGGCACCTACTAAAAACTTCTTACTTTGCGAGAAAAAGTGAAAAAGCGGCAGAAATTGTGAAAAATAAGGACAGCATTCGTGTACAGTGGGAGCCGGGAAGCAATATTGATCAAAAAAGAAATTTCGTAAAAACTGAGGGACTTCAAATTGACAAAGGGTGTTTTGATTGGTTTTTTCGGTTGCAAGGTCAAAACATTCAAATATCGGGGCACTTAGTAAAGGCCAAAGTTCAAGAAAGAGCCGAAAAACTTAAGGTTCCAATGGATGGCTGGGAAAGTGGCGCAAGAGACATGCGATAAGTTTTAAGTGTATCTCCGAAGAATCAGCAGATGTGAGTCAAGAAGACGTAAATCAGTTTAAAGATATCAGCCACATGATGTTTACAATGCCAATGAGACTGGCCTTTTCTTCCGAGTCTTACGTAACAAAACACTTGATATGAAATCCGAAAAATGTAGTGGTGGCAAGCTTTCCAAGGAGAGGCTTGCTATTTTATTTTGTGCTAATAAGACAGGACAAAAAGACGATTTGCTCGGATTAGAAAGGCTGCCGACCTAGGGCATTTGAAAATGTAGCATTTAAAAATTTATCGCCAATATGGAAATTTAACAAAAAAGCATGGATGATACGAGACGTTGTGAATGAATGGTTGTTACAATTTTATAGAAAAAAATTATCTTCTTGCCTCCAAATACGACATCAATATGTCAACGACTAGATCAGGGCATTATAGAGAATGTTGAATTCTATTATCGTGGACGCATATGGAAACCCATTTTATCAAAGATGGATCAAGTAATGCCCGCGTCAAATTTAGCAAAGTCTGTAAATATTTTAGAAACACAAGTCAACCTGGAATAAAGTTTCGTCAGAAACCATGCAAAATTGTTTCAACATAGGTGGTTTTCAAAAAAATAATGATTTTTCCGCATCAATAGAATGGGATCCAGAAGATAATATTCACTATCTTGAAATGGAACGATATTTTAGAGAAACAAACTCTTGGAAACTACGTTGAAATCAATACACAATATTACAGCGATGAGGAGACTAGTTTGAACATTAAAGATGCAATTGAAAACATGAAAGAAACCTAACCGGAAGAAGACAGCGATCAAGAATATGATAGTGGGGAACCTAGCACAATTAACAGCTATAATGAAGCCTTAAAAATAATTACCGATCTAAAAGTCTTTGCTAAAAAGGACTACATTGCATTTCAACGCCTTAAAAATTTAGATCATTTTCACTCAAGTTTGTTAAAAAAAAAAATAAATAAAGTTCATTCGACTAGATTTTTCTCTGTAGTTTTTAAAGAAATAAACGTAATACGTATTTACGATTAACGTTTTTTTTTTTAATGCATCTCTAATGAGCGGACAAAACTAGTGCAACCGTGAGTGTCCGGTTATGGGAGTTTTCATTGTTTCATTGTTTTTAAATTTTATTAAGGAAGATGATAGTCGAATTTAATCCCCTTCATTCCTTCTAAAAAGCGAAAAAATATGTGTTTTTGTGATTGTAAAAGTGCCGTAAAATGTTGTTGCTCTATCTCTTCGTGTAATAACTTAAAACCAACTAACTAATTTTTTTAATCTTTCACCATATTTGTTGTCTTTGGAACCAACACATTGTATATTAATAGGTCAGCTTAGAAAAGTGGATCATATTGCTATTGGGTTTAAAAATACTTATCGGTCATAATAAGGATTTGGACCCTCAATTTTTTTTGTAAATGGGGATTAAAATAGCACCCTGCGTGCAATTGATTTACTTCGCGGAAAACAAATTTTACTTCCACGCGAGCGACGAGTTTTATTTTTACCTCTGGTCGTGTGTTTCCCATTAGAGAATTTTTGCCGCACCCAAGACTATTAGTTGTTTCGCCGAATTTCTGGGCACAAATTTATTTTTCCAACCATCCACCGCAGCGCAGGTTCGGAAAGTTTTTGGGGGACGGTTGTTTGCGAAGCTGGCGGCATATCTTTCTCGCAAGCGCAGCGAGTCGCGTAGTTTTTAATTGAATATGTTTGATTCTCCAGGACACATTTATTTCGGATGAAATTTCAGAATTCCCGAAAAAACAATTTCAATGTGTGTCGGTACTGAATCGATTAAGTAAATAATTCAAAAAAAAAAAAACATAATACTAACATTTTAAGAAAACGAGTTTTGATCCACAAGGTGTTGAAATAAAAGCAAAAACTGTTTTCTCTCTCAAAAAAAGTACCCTTTTTTGAAAAATTCCAGAAACATAAATAAATAAATATCGGTAACTATTTTAATAGTTTAACAAGCTGTATCTATAAAACTAAAAACTAGTTTACCTTACATTTTTGCTTTTTTTTTTAAATTGCGAAGATAAAGCTGTTCTCCCCAAGATTGTCGTTACAAAATCGATGATTATTTTCATCATCAGCAACTTTGAGATGCCAATTTACTTTTATAAATTTTCGATACTTAATTTAGAGTGCATTAAATTTGCTGTATACATATAGCTATTTAAGGGGATCCCCATCACATAATTTCCTGTTCTTTCCGGAAATTGCTATCCTTCCTGGGAATGCCACTTGCTGTCGTCGGTAGGAGGCGTAGCAAATTTTGTAATATATTTTCGATATTAATTAGAGAAAAAATAAAGAACCAGTTTGAATCTAAAAATGACTATTGGAGTGGATCATTATGGAAAACAGAGCCATCGACAATTTGGAGATTTTTCATACATTTCTCGCAATTGTTGAAAATAATAATAACAGCAATGATAACATTAATTAAATTTTTGGTATCAAATTCAAGATTGGCGAAATTTCATAGCTAAGAAAAAAATACCACAGTAATTAGAATTTTGAAATGAAGATTTCGTTTGTTGAATTATAATAATACCATTTGTTATTCATACGCGATGGATGTGTCAAAGGATATACATTTTAAAAATCGTTGTAATCGAATTTTGGATATCTCATTCCCAGCTGGTAAAATTTATTACCTAAAAAATCCTCCTAGAGTAAAATTTTAAAACAATGTCGATACGTTGTTTGCATTGCAGGTTCGTCCGGTAATAGATTCGAACAACAACGCTTAACATTGCGAATCCACAGGGGTAGAGGGAGTTCGAACAGGGTTCCGCATGGGTCTCCGAATGGGAGCAGTTATACGGCCACAACGACAAGTAGCGCATCTCCTAGTCCCAGAGGGCGCCACGAAAGAGTTAAGATTAGCGTCAGTTATCCGTCAAACGAAAATATCTCATCAGCGACGTCCTCGCCGCAACTGCTCGCAGTACGTATTTCATTTTTATTCGATATTTACTTTTGCACCACCAATCATAGTTCAATTAAGTTGGTCTTGATTTAATCTGCATTAACCGTCCAACAACTGCTTTTCATCTGTCTTATTTTAAAATTTGCCCATCTCACTCCAAACAATCTGAGCGAAAGTGACATTACTGCGGACTTTGTCATATATGACCGCCATGGACATTTAATGGCTGCTCAATATTTGACAAGTATATAACTCAATCCCTGCGAAAGCTAATGTAGTCAACTGTAAGGAAATAAAAAATTCGAATAGTGGGGCAGCAACAGACACTCCCTGAAATACTCTTTCTGCTTCATTTGGCAAGAGGGAGCAAAATTAGAGGATACAATGAAAAAACTGTCTTCATAAAAACTTATCTGTGGCTACATCTGTTAGCCCTATTGGACCAATTTATTGGGTTCCTCTTCGGTGAAATTATTGAGTGGTTCTAGATATGTCACTTCAAAACTGAGATGTAGCGTAAATATGTAAACATAATTTGTTGTATGTATATCGACTAGCAATAAAAAAATAATATACTGTGATATGAACAAATCAAGAAGAGTTACATATGGATAAAAAAAATGTTAGGTGCAGTTAAAAATTTTAAAACAAATGACTCGCAAATTCCACATTTTGGAAAATGACAATGATGCTGAAGTACTTTTTATGCTTAATATGGCGCCAATCATTGTGAATTCATAATTAAATTAGCCTGAACATCCTTTCTGAAACAACTACAAAGTTTTCGATATCCATTTCACCGTACAAATTACGGCATCAATAGTTTTTTCTAGAACTACTAGGCTAGCCAACCAATACTGTCTAATAAACTTTTTTACACCCCGTTTGAATTTGAGGCGAGTCTAATTGCAGGTATAGAGTACTATTCTTTATGTAGTCTTGGATCTTTGTATTTCTTAGATAACTTAATAGTATAAGTTGTATTTTTATTCTCTTGTTCTCTGATCTCTTTAACCATATCTACTTCTCACTCGCGGGAGGAATCCAGAAGTTTTGTGAAAAGTATTATAATTTTCTTTTTTTGATTTGATTTAAAAATTATTCAAATTGTTAGATACGTTTTTAGGCATTCAAATTTGCACATTTTTCACAATTCTCGTGTAAATGGAAAATATTTACGTGAACCGTTGCCTCTGACATTTAGCATTCGATTCGCGCAGGTTCTCTTTACGGCCCGAACCCCCGTGAAATTTCATTGTCTTATTTGCAGGTGACTCCGACATCACCCTCGGGTCATCCATCCTATGTCGTCCACTACTCGGTGAACGGCAAAGACTCTTCGACCACGTCTTTGTGTAACAGACGCAGTCAGCAGAACAGCGATCAACATTTAAAGGTAATGTATGAGTCGGGGATTGAATTCCAGATTCACGAATATACGGGGTAGTTAATTGGTGCGGAAAACTTTAAAGTTAAAAGTGAAGTGTCCTATGCCGGGGTATCAAGCAACATTGATATTTTAAATGGAGTAAAATTAACCCGATTAATTCCAATAAGAATTTGTGTCCTAATAAATAAGTGACTGAGAATTTTCAAAACATTTATTAACTTGAAAAGTAACCGTTTTCGATATAAGATAAAAAATAAATCGAGTTATATCATATTATTGTATTCTATTTGTTCGTAGTGCGAATGTATAATTAGTATCGCATTGTGTTCCTTCCGAAGGTTCAAAGGACAGGGTCCACCAGATTATCGATAAAGAGGAGATCTAGTAGCGTCGATAGCGGTAGAGTTAGGACAACTAGCTCGTCCCCTACAGGCAATGACGACGCTGCCAATAAGAATAAATTGATAACAAAGAAAATGGGAAAGAGAAACATTAAAGCTCAGGTATGATGACTATATTAAAATAAGATATTCTGAAGCAATGCTTACTCTTATTGTGACCAAAATATTCCTTTATTATCAAATATTCCGATTAGTATTGTTATTCTATCTACTTCAGCATTTTTTTTATTTTTATTAGACTTAACTATTACGAAAACGCAAAACAAATTAGATTTTTTCATAATTTTCCATAAACCTTCACACACGGACACAGTCATACATAACAGCCCTTATACACAAAATGACATTTCACTCGTTTATACACAGACTTCTTAATACGCCACTCTCAACACATGGCACTGAACATCGCCTATAATCCGTCCAATATCGATAAAATTATAATTAAAAAACAGACAACAGTAAACTCTATTTATTCGAAACCTAATACAGAACACGAACAATTTAAAACAATTACATACATAGGAGAACACAGTGAAAAAGTTTCAAAACATTTGTCAAAATGTGGTTTACAAATTGCTTTTAGAACTGGCAACACAATCTGAAAATTTTCGGATGCGGATCATGTCCTAAAATTTATATTGGACAAACAGGTAGATCCTTCAAGAAACGCATTAACGAACATAAAAGAGCGTTTAAAAACAATTTTATATATTCTAATTATGCTACACACTGCAGCACAGAAAAACACATTTTTGACCACAATTTTGATATGTTACATACAGCCACAAAAAGAAAAAAATTAAATTTATTGAAAGCCATGGAGATTAACACAATGAGACATTCAAATGTATTGCTTAACAATCAATTAGATTTAAATACCTCTCCATTATTAACCTTAAATTCTCACAACAACATTAATTAAGGTTTTATTGTTATTTTCGGTATATATAATAGCATGTAGTTTGTAAATATTACATTTGATAAAGCACGGCAATTTCATAAAATCTTAACTTTCAGTTCTTATTTCGTATAGTTCGTATTTCTGAGGCCGCTGCTGAATGATTTTCTGATGATGCTCTATCAATTTTAAAACGCTAGATCCAACAATAAACCGTAGTTTTGGATTCTGCAGACTCACCAAATACTTTGCAGCTGCTGAATAATTTCTGATAGTTTAACATCTTTCAACAAAAAAAAAAAGAAATTGCCGCTTCTTCCATGGTTAACATGAAAATGCACCAATATCAGTCGAACACCTAAATCACACTGAACAATATTACACTAATTACACCAATAATATTCCTATAAGTTCTGCTTAATTTAATTATAGCACAATTTCCAGAACTTTGCAAATATCCCCCGTAACTAATATTCATTACTTGTTATTTGCGTATCTCGCTCAACAATAACTGTTTTATTAATATTAGTTTTAAATGAAACCCTTTTCCGTTCCCACCGTCGCTTATTATTTTGTTTCAGGTGAAACGATTTCGCATGGAAACCAAAGCCGCCAAAACCCTGGGCATCATAGTCGGGGGTTTTATATTTTGCTGGCTGCCGTTTTTTACGATGTACCTGGTCAGGGCATTTTGCGCCAGTTGCATTCATCCATTAGTCTTTTCGATCCTGTTTTGGTTGGGTTACTGCAACAGCGCGATAAATCCCCTCATTTACGCTCTCTTCTCGAAAGACTTCCGATTCGCTTTCAAGAGGATCATTTGTAAATGTTTCTGCACGCGGCGAGGATCGCAAAGTTCCAGGAGAGGATCCGACGGATCGCAGTTACAGGTACAATTAATTACAGTCGCTTAAAAAGCCGGAAAACTTTCTTTTCCGGTGCGCGTTTATTTTGTTTTCGAGATAGTAGTTTTTTTTATATAGTGTCGGCATTTGAAAAGAGTTTTCCAAGATACTGCGTTTTAACGCAATAAATCGAAAAATTGTTTTGATCGTTCTCATAGAAACTTTTATGATTTACGATTCAAAGACTCTCAATAGAATATTAAATAAGTAGGTTCGATCCTATCTTCACAAACATGTTTGGAACATTTTTCCGCAGATTTTGATTTATGGAAATTGGTATGAACAAGTGACCGATAAATTAGCACAAATGGGGACGATGGTGTAAAACTTGGTGGCAGAAATATTTCATCCGTTAGTCGGTTATCAATCATCTATGAATTTTATTTAAAATTCCATCAGATGTCGCGTTTTATGGTTTCTATGTGTTTATTGCTTTTTGTAAGTTAATTATTTTGTTTTTTTTTTGGTTTTGTTCTTTCATTACAATCGTCATCCAAATGGTCAGATAATCTTACTGTACAGGGTGGACAAACAAGTGTGTAAGCTACATCTCGAAAAATATGCGTCATTGAGACTTAACGTAAAAAATGTTATTACTAAAGTGGTCAAAAGAAGGACGCGGATAATACTTTCAAATTACAAAGATGATCCCCAGGAGACATAACCCTATTCTTAAACTCTTAAGTGAGCCTTCAAAGTCCATGTAGTAACTTTTCAGAAATAATTCATAAACATGTTTTTTTAAACCAAGCTTTATTTTAGTATATCCCAGGACTTTTTCACCTAAATCATTGTTTTTCTAAATAATTATTTGTAACTTTCACTTGTGACAAATTTGATCTATCTGGACGAAGCACTTATTGCTTAGCGGAGATGATGAGTTGTCAAGTCATCAGCGTCAATCTTGACTTGGTGCATCCCACTCCTTTGCTTATTTGGTGTTTGCTAATACAAAAATGTCTATCAGATCGAAAGCTGCTCAAATTGATGCTCAATAACAGTGGTCACTAAATCTTGGAAAAATTTATTTTTTTATTGGATTAAATCTAATCTCAGTATATTATTTCAAGTACAATTATTTCAAGCGAAAATTAAACAATAAGTTAAAATGATTTACTAAAAAAAAAACCAAACAGATAGAAAAATTGAAAAATAAGATAAAACAATCCTTTACTACAGTTATCTGCCAGGAGTTTCCGGAGCAAACACTCGTGCGAATCTGCATAAGTGTGCAATCTGGCAGAAAAAAATGAACGAATCAAAACTAACTCTACTACAAAATTTGGTTTATATGGCATTAAAGACTCTGCACTAGAATTCGTAAGGAATTTTTTAACTGATTGATCTCACCAGATTAAAATGAATAGTAATGTTTCTAGTCATAGGGAAAGCAGATGGGGTGTATCGCAGAAAAGCGTGTTGATCCCACTTATTTATTATTTATATAAATGATATGCATCAGATTTAAAAAAACTTAGTTGCCGATGACATGCTTATCTCAGTCTCTGGAAACGATTGCAAAGGAATAGTTGCCAAACCAAATACCGAAATGCAGTATTTTTATGAATGGTTGTGCCAAAATATATTGAACTTAAATAGCTCCAAAACCAAATGCATGGTTATCGGTTCTAAAGTTCTATTCAATGGATAGATTGGGGGAATGAAATTGAGTTTGCTTCCGAAATTAAATATTTGGGAGTGATCTTAGATCCACAATTATGTTTTTTAACCATGTATCGCTGGTTTTATCACAGTGAACTAAGATATTAACATATAATAGTACAAATTTGCCCCACTTTTCGTATATTTGTTCATTACTTATACCTTGTACAAAAGAAAATTTAAATAAGTTACAGTTACAATAAAATAGGGTTATGAGAATCATACTGAACTATGACAGATACATTCATATAAAGAGGCTAAATGTCGACCAGTTCATAACTAGAGAAATTTGGGCAATACAAGGAATTGGGCATGATCACCAAACAGGCTAGCTCAAATTATGGTTGGAAAAAATACTTTTTTTTATTCAACGAAACTTCCACACGCTACTGTATTAATTTTTATAAAATGTCTGGATTCCTCCTGCGTCGGTTTTTGTTGACTCTAACTTGCTCTCGCCAATCAAAGCTTGACTGAAACTGGCTCGCATTCTACTCTGTACCTGCTTATATATTGTTTGAGGGGGGCGGAGCTAAGTAAGGGGCATCAACACCGTCTCGGATGACTGATTCCCATATTGGTGACATGCAAAGACCTGTTATTATTATTATTATCATTATTATTATTATTATGTCTATTATTATTATTATTATTATTATTATTATTATTTTGAATGCGCGTTAGGGAAAACAATCCCCGGGAAAAGAAAACAAACTATTTTGTTAGTGACTCGGGTTGAATCGCTCTTGTTCATAATCCCCGACCCGAAGATTGCGATTAGAACGAGCCTAATATTCACGTTTGATAAAACCTGTCTCGATTCCTATCAAACTTATACACTATAACCGACTAATATGCCACCTATTATTGAAAACTATAACTATTATGGAAGTAGGTGACTTTTGACACATATCTTTTATTCTTCGTTGGACACCGCCCGTAAAAATGAAACGTTATTCGAAATATTTTGAATTTATATTCTTTCCTTCCGCTGCTCCGCTAATTGGAAATTGGTTAAACGTCGCGAAAAAAATAGAGTAAAGCAGCGCCATTAACGACAGCAAAACCCGGTAGATACACTCAATGTCTGCATAATCGATTTCCGTAATTGAATTTTGTCCTTTTTCGATTCGTTTTGAGACGAAGTTAAATGGAGTAAATACACAATTCCATTACGCGCGACCGGTGGAAGGAATGAAAATATTTCGATTAAGATTGCTATTGTTACGTTTACCTGTAGACGCTGCGAGGGATTTTGGAGAACACTGTTTCTACAACGTTCATTAACATTTTCTACCTATTAAATGTGTATTAAAAGCAGCCGCAATATTTATGCATATTTCCTAACGGTGTGAAAATATTGAGAGGGATAACCGGATTAATTTCAACAATAACACTTCATATCCACGTATATCCAAAGCGTCTTAACTTTTGAGATAGAATATGGTAAATTCTTCAGGAAAAAATATTTTTATATTATCCAAGGAACGATTTTCAATATTTTCCTGAAGTTTAGTTAGTCCATTTCACTTGGTAAACCATTCAGACTATTTTCTTTACGACAAGATGTGCATAATTGCTATCTCTACGAATTCTTGTACTTATTTCACCATAGCGATACAAAACAAGAAAGTTTAAAAAAAAATTTACTTTCAATATATACAAACTTTATAATATTTACAATTTCCATTAAACTAAAGAACCTCAACCCAAAATTAATATACAAAAATTATGCGAATGGCACGTTTTAGATAATCTTGGCCTGTTGTTTTTTTTCTTTAAATGATAATCTATTGTAGTTCCTTTTTGTCATACCTTTAATTTATTTATTTGGATAGTCTAGTCATTTGCGGTATAAAAGTCTTGACTAAAATAATTACCTAAAAAATGTGACATTTTGTTAAACGGATTAATAATTTTTAAAAAGACAAATTAGTTAATCTAGAATAAATTACAATTGATAAACCCCATTGTAAAATCACTCTTAGCTGAATTAATTAAATTTTTTGCATTTTTTTCTTTTTTTCATTTTCTGTCAATTTGATGAATTGAATGCGGAAATGATTCTACCCTGTAACTGAAAATTTAAGAGTACAGTTCTTTTTTCTTAAAATGAGCTCATGAGCTACTCTCATTAGTATTAATACACGATTAAGGAAAATCATGTGTCCTCCCAAGAAGCTCATACTATACATACAAATGAGGGGAGTCTCATTAGTGAAATTTTCTTCCGGAATTTGGCAAAATCCTTTCTCGATCAACATTGTTGGCGATTTTTGCACTTATTGTATATATGATTTTATTTATTTTCTTCAAAAACTCCAAAAAGAAAAGAAGCAAATCCATTCAAAGTGTGAGTTTGAGGATAAGAATGAAAAGAAAAGAAAATTTAATCCTAAAAGATGTAGAATACAAAAATTATTTGAATATCACATTCTATAGATAAACTTGTCTGTCCTGTTGTTTTTTTTTTTTTCATAAAAATTATACTATATTTTTGTTCCTCTTTGTTATGCCTATTTATTTATGTATTTCTCTCCAGCATCTTGACTAAAAAATTATCTTAAAAGTGTGAAATTTTGATACACCGACTTATAAGCCTAGAATAAATTACAGTTTATAAACCTCATTGTCAAATCATCCTTAGCTGAAATAATTTAATTTTTTGCATTTTTTTTCTTTTCTTCACTTTCTGTCGATATGGTGAATTGAATTCGGAAATGTCCCTACCCTGTTTTTTTTAAGGAGCTCATAAGCTACGCTCATCAGTATTAACCAACACCATGTAAACTCCCAAGAAACTCATATTGTACATATACATAAGGGGAGTCTCATTCCTGAAAATTTCTTCCGAAATTTGCCAAAATCCTTTCTCGATCAACATTGTTGGTGATTTCTCTTTTCATCGTATGTACGATTTCATTTATTTTCTGTAAAAACTTAAAAAAAAAATCTATTCAATCAGTTAGTTGGTATAGTCCTTTCTGTAATTCGCACATTCGTTGGTTCACAAGAACTATTTTTTATGAACATATCTTAACCGTTAGAGAAGAAAAGATTCTTAAAATTAAAAATGATACTTGTCAGTCTTTTATGTTCGAGGATAAGGGTGAAAAGTAAAGACAATGACATCATTGGCAGAATAAAGCTTAAGGTCAGAAGTGCGATTTTCTCTTATTTTCTTAAACGCTAAAGTAAGATGTCTCCTAAATCAAAATCCTGAACTGCTATAAAATCAGAGATAAAGTAGATAACCTTCTTCATTTCTTTCCTTTTCTCTTTCTTCAGTTGCGATTAATCTGCTATTTTCTTCTCCGAGATCATTTTTAATGTGCGTTCGTTGATTGTGTTTCTCGCAAAGCTAATTGGAACGAAGCTAACTTCGTTGTTGTTGCAGGGTCGACAGTTTCGTTCGCCGAGCTATAACGTCCAGGCTCACGGGAACTCCTTGGGCGAGGAGAGTGATCCCGGCGGAGATCCTTCCGATTCGAGGTGACACAACGGCAAGAGGCGCGGCAAAAGCGTACTAGTGGAAAAAGACAACGTCTTCAAATTGGCCATGAGCGTGGCCATCGGGTGACAATTGGAGAACCTAAAGAGAAACATGGGTGATAAAAATGAAACTCAAAGTTAGTCATACGTAGAACAAAGTACGATGTAGGCATATTATTATTATTATGACTTACAGACTGGTCAATAAATATCTCGCACGCGTTTATTTATTATTTTCGTAACTTTACCACCACAGTCACGAAAATAACTCCCAAATGAGATCTGTATAGGACAAGACTTTTTTTTGAAATATATTATACTTTTAGCTTGAATTAAACTACCTAATCGAGGAAGTTTCATCGCAATCTCTCTCGTTTTCCACTCCCATTCTTATCCGACATTTTATCATCTTCGCGTTATATCGGCGGATTGCGAAAAAAGACGATCCCAAAATCCCATATAAGCTATTTAGAAGTAATTATTGTACGTAATACCGGCTCTCGTGGAAACTACTAACTGAGCTATATAGATTCCGGGAAGAGGCGACGCGCAATTCTGCTCGGACGTCTGGGGAAAACAAGTCCGGCTTACCTTACCATTAATCTTCTCAAAGCAGAATCGAAATCCATCCGCATTATTTCGTGACATTTTCGGAATACAATTTGTTTTTCTTCCAAATTCGCCATTGAGTGCAGAAAATTCCGAGTCTATCCCGGAATTTGTCGCGTCAACGCCAACATACGCTTGTTTCGGCGATATTCACTTGATAGTTTGAGAAATATGTATCATTCGTTCATTCACAAAATATTCGGGCAAGGTTTGTTGCTTTTCACTTCACTTCACTTCACTTTTCAGTAGAAAAGCGATTTGTATTTACCATACGATTATCCTAACCTCCATTTTCGCAGTTAGGAAAGTAAATTGTATAAACGTGAGGAGTACCCAAAAATATAGTTACTATAACCGTTTGTTCTTTTCGAATGGAAATTAAGGTCTCATTTGCGGTGAAACACTCTGTATCACCAACGTTCTTTGAAAGCCTAATGTTCTCCTCTACAAATCATATAATTCTTAAAACCTTTCATAATGAGAAACATTAACTTTGTTAGATTCAGAACATTATGATAGGAACTACTAAATCAAGTTCTGATTTCTTATCAATGTATGATGTCTAATTGTCTAAAGTTTACATCTTGTGTGCTTTAAATTAATTTTTCTTTGACGAAAGAGTCTTATTTTCCACCAGTTTGTTGTTAAAACTGATTTAGAGATGAAGAATGTCAGTTAACTAATTGCCTTTTTATTTAATTTATTGTAACACAACATATTTAATTTGATATTTACATGAATATACCTTATCATCAACTTTGTCACAAACGGGGACGCTAAAAATAATAAATAATAATAATAATAATAATAGACACTAATGAAATATCAAGTGTCATTGGAAAAGAGATAAATATATGGGAAGGATAAAATGGGGGTTTTGAACAAAAATGTTAACAACAATGTTGACAGAATTACCATTTTTACGTGAAACTTACAATATTGCATACATATATTCTTATCGCAATAAATTGGGCGCCTCGAATTGATTAAGGTCTCTTAACTTCAAAAGCATTTTTCAGAAAAAGTACCAGAAATGATAAAATTCTATACCTGGGGTTTTTTGAAAATGCAGAATTCAAAAATTCTAAAAGCAATGTTGTCAGATTTCGAAACACTAAAATTTCCTTTGTCCAAAATTCAGTAATTTTTTCATTAACAGTGGTAAATCTGACAACAATGCTGTTAGCATTTTTTAATGCTGTATCTTCAAAACTCTCCGGATCCTAAATTTTCTAGTTCCATCTTAGGCAATTTTTGGAGATATTTAATCTTTCCGGTACTTTTTACTAACCCGGTATATTATGGTAATCCTATAGGATTTATTAGGTCATATTTTTTGTCATGTATCTAACAAAATTCATACATTAGTTTAGCTCCTTTTGTTATTATTATAATTATACATTTTTCTAAATGCTGAAGATCATGCTTCCAAATCAGTATCGGGGATACTGGGTGGTTCATTTCAAATAAACTTGCAATCTGCATCAAAAATAGTTGTTTTTCCCGTAAATTTAGTAAAAAAATCATAAGTGGCAACAACGTAAACAAAAACTTGAACTGATACTTCGTAAATTGTATTTTGTGACAGTTTCGGGGTACACGTTTGTCGTCGGAATCCGGTATCGAGTGTGGCAAATTCCATTCTTTATCCCGGAATTTGTTTCGTTGGTAAAGTCCGGATGGTCCCACCAAAAAATTTCGACCGTTTCTAAAATCAAACAAACCGCATAAACCGTTCGGAAAATCGATGCGAGGGTGGTATTATTTATTGACCTGGTCTGACGTCGCATGCCAAAGTTTTTGTCATATCAAAGCACCGTTCTAAATATATATTTTCCCCCGAACGTCAAAGTTATCCTTGTTGCATGCCGGTTGCTGAATAATTTAACCGGTCGATTAACTATTGACGGATTTAATTGGATTATTATTAGTGCGGTGCAGCGAATTTGCGTCAATATTCCGATTTAAAGATTAACAAATAATTCAAGTTTAACTAGATGCACGATATAAACAGAACGTCTTGATCGTGTAAAGAATATGAAATAGAGTTTGAAGCCCAAATCTGCAATGTTAATTTATTCAATATGATATTGTTTCTCGCAAGATATGGTTTATAAGCAACTGTCTGGTCCAGGAAAGCCAGTAAAAGCGGCAACATAAACATGCAATTGTGTTTTAAAAATACCATGAGATAAAATATTAGGTATACAGTTCTCATCCCTTCGAATTGCTAATTGAATATTAACACTTTTCCCCAGATTTTACTAAAAGTTTTAATTCAAAAGCAAATACGATTAGTAGAGTGGTTGTTTGTAGGAAATATTATTGTATGCTTCCCCAACACTGATTCTCAAAGTTCTATGCAATAAATCATTTTGAATCAGTATAATCTTAGTCTATATGTTCTCTTCATTACAAAAATATTTTCTTTCTTAGTTCTTCTTTTTCTCTTCTTCTTCATTCCTTTTTTTTTTCGATTAGCGTTAAGGAATGCAAATAAGGTAATTGAAAAATCCATTAATAAAATCAACCACCTTAATTTTCGTGTTTTTTAATATTTTTTTCTTATTTTATTACTTTCCCTCCTTCTTTCTAACAGCGTAAAAAACACAAAACACAAAAGGAGTACATAGGGAAATAATTTTAATGTCGTTTTTATTTTTAATTTCATCATATAGAATTATCTATTTTACACTACATACTTAGTTAACACCCTGTAAATGATAATGATTCAGTCACTTTCGGGATTCCCAATCCTAATCTAAACAAAACCTTCAGGGAATAAAACACTTACGAAAATAGATCTCATCGATATCTCAATAAATATTTCCCTTATCGCCTCTAGACGTTACATTTTCCATTCCTACACCCAAAATCGATTTTGCCGGCAAACGACAGCTGAATATCAGAAATGCGTTTCGTGTTCGAGGGAATCATTGAGGAAACCTCACATATGAGCACACGAACAAACAATATTCACTTTTAGAGGGAAAGGCGCTCTCGGAAAATCCCAAAGAAAGGCGAAAGCAAACAATGCCTTTAACTCCCTAAAAACTAAGCAATTGTGGTCGCGCAAATAAAATCTAAAAAGGGATCCATCGGAATGCGGTAATAAAATTGAACCTAGTATGTCTGTTGAGAATTTTGTCGGGAATTTTATTTTGAATGCGCGGCGGCGTTTTCCGTTTTCCTTGTTCCGGGAAGGGCTACGACAAAAGTTTTCGGGGATCGGTTCAAATTTCTGGCTATTTTATTGGGACAGAATAAACAAATTAAAAAAAAGTCAAATTAGAAAATAAATAAAAAAGGAGACTCCACATTAAGCGATAATTATAGACCTATAATAATAGCAAGTTGCTTATCTAAAATATTAGAGAAGGCAGTGTACAACCGAATTCGGCATTTCTTGAAACACGAAAAAATAATTTCAAACGTGCGAAATGGTTTCCGCGAATGGTGCTCGACGGGAACGGGCACAATCGACTAATTAAATTTGAATATAATGTCGGAAAAGCTGGAACCCTTAGGCATAAGAGGGCCTATTAATAATTGAACATGTCGTATATGAATCAAAGAAAAATAAGTGTAAAAGTAAACGCAACATATTCGGATCCATATGATGTTAACTTAGGCACAACTTATGGGGGCATTTTGCGGCCATTACTTTTTCTCCTATACTCTTTAACAGTAACTGTCGAGGTAGTGACGCGCAGGAGCTGATAAATAATGTCTCTGTTGCTGTTGAACAGTTTAATAAATTTTGCAAGCAAAATCATCTAATCATAAATTTAGAGACTTTAGAGAGATTTAGGGGATAGTACCTTTTTACATGTTTTTTTTAGTTTCTCTGGAACGTCCTTAGGAAAAATTCAGAGCACAAGATTTCTTTGCTCCTACTTATGCACCATTGAGGTGGGATCAGGACATAAATAGTGTTTGTAGTAAACTAAATAAAATATTCTTTGCCATATTAACAATTAGAGACTCATTTCTTGAGAGATCACTATTAGTCTTTTATTATGCTTCGGCATACTCCTCAATTTCTTACAACATTGTGAACTGGGGGCAAGCTAATGATGAAGAGGTGTTTATACAGCAGAAAAGAATACTTAGGGTAATTTTTAAACTTTCTCCGAAACAGTCTTGGAAAGAAATATTTCAGAAACACAAAATGATGACGGTTCCTTGTATATACCTGTTTGAATCACTGCTAGTTGCACACATATACATTTACATAAGAAACACATTGATAACCATTGTCACTACACTCGCAACAGAGAAAATCTCTTAAAGCCTAAACTGAATCACATGTTTTGTAGAAGATCTTTAGGCTATGCAGGGCTACACTATTATAATATGCTCCCGTCTACCGTTTACCAAGCAATTTAAGAAACATATGATGCATCTGACAACCAATGCTTTTTATAGTCCAAGTGAATTCGAAACGCATGTTCAATAATAAGTGTTTGTAATGTTATATTGATGTATTTGTATTGTTTATTATGTACTCCTGCTCTGGAACAGTTAATTACCTCACTATAGGCAAGGAACGAAGAGAAAATGAATATTGCCAGAAGCTTATTCTCATGGAATATCTAGCACAACGTCATGAATGGTTTAAATAGTTCTTGAATATATTGTTACATGATTTGTTTGAAAGATGTGATTCCAAACTAACAGTTTTTCAGAAAAAAAAAATTATTTTAAACAATTTGTAATACAAAACGTTAGTGAAAGGTATACAGAAAACAGTTTTTGTCAGCAATATTTCTAAATTTTTAGCAAAAGGGTTTTCGGTATTGAAGTTTATGCCGTAACAAAGACTTTTTTTTAACAATGGCGTTATGCAAAAGTATTAAATTATTGTAAAAAATATACTATAAACACAGTATTTATTAAAATTGCTTTAACTTTTATGAATGTATAACAAACATTAAATATTTTACAGTGATTATTTCTCACATGTGACCTTTATGGACTTTTTTTATTTTTCAAGGAAGGCACTTAATAATAATAACTAAACGTTTGTTAAAATAGTTGAACGTATTAAATAAGAAGCTAAACTATTTTCTACTCACTTTTTCCTATATTATGATTAAATACATTATTTAATTGTTTATTTAATTTTCTTACATAATAACTAGGATACAACCAGATGTTTGTCCATGATATGACAACTTCTCAAATTAAAAAAATTATCATGGATAGAATAAAATTTCTTTAACTTGGACGAAATATTTCTGAAACTTCTTCAGAAAATATTAATATATTATACGAGGTTGTTTATATTTGACAATTTGTACAAATTTGCTTTTCGCCATTTTCCGCTACAACTTATATGGACCCTGGCACAGTAATCAAATTATAAATAGTCAGATACTCGTAACAAAATAAATAAACATATTTCTAGACGGTTCGTTGTCATAAATTTGTGTTGAAAACCAGCTCCATTATAGTTTGTTTGAATACAACAAGCTAATATTTTTATTTTTGAAAATAGAAACTTTAAAGTATATTCTATCGTCTTGGCCTTTAGAGGCAATTATCGAAATAACGTGCCAACGGCAATAAACCACCTGACCAGCCAGTATTGTAGAACACAGCATCAGAGAGGCACTTTTAAAGTATCTTAAAAACATAGTGGAACAAAAATTTGGTGTTTTCTGTAGAAGGCAGCTGTGATGGCTTGCGTTATCTATTACAATTACACTGTCGTCTGCAATATCTTTTTAAATAAAATTTTGAAACCAGTTGACAAAAACTTTCTGCACTAGAGTTCTTAGTATTCTTCGCAGACAACAGCAAGAACTTAACAGTTTAATTTATGGTGATCCATGAGCTGTTTTTGTCTGACAGTTTTTAGAGACATCAACCCATCCTTTGGATACTGTATCTGGTATATCGAATGAAGTTTAAACTGTGTAAATTATTTAAGGTCCTGAAGATAACACAATGCAGAATCTGTGCGATGTCACTACCACTTGTTTTTTTATCCATTTTGCGGAATTTAAATCCCATTTAAACACAAACTCTATCAAGGATTGCACTACTAATAATATATTAGTTTCATCTTCTTCTAACTTCCTTTTTAGGTTATCCTTCTTACTTGCCTATTATCCAGACGGTTTGATTAAAAATCGCAACGTTTTTATAATAAATATCCTTTATCGAAGATATTGTCGTTATTGCAGGTTTCTTTTCAATTTTCTTGTTTAATGAATCCTCTACTAATTAAACATCGACACACATTTTCGTACTTTGTTTTGTGTCTAATTGCAAGTGATTTCGATATGACATAACAGAAGAGTTGGTGAAATACTCCTAAGACTGAAACCTCACTTGTCGCTTTCGTATGAATAAATTATTCGGTGTGGGATTTGCCCAGTGCAATAGCCATGACAGTCTGAATTACTTTTTGGCGGAAGATCTGCCAAAAGTCAAGATACTTTGAGCGACATTTTACCTTCATTTTACGAAAGTCGTGGAAAACTGTTTGGACCCCCGGAGATATTCTACACGCTTTTAAACCTCTAGAAAATCACGGGTCTCTGGTCGAAAATAAAACAGCCTAACACCAGAAGGGACGCTGCGAATTTAGTCGCAAATTTGTCCCGATTTATGTTAAATTTACACAGTCTTGCAGCACTTTTGTTTGCATTTTTTTTTTACAAAACGGGATTTTTCAGCAGATGTTTCGCGACCCTCTCGCGTTTCCGCGCCTCATTAAAGTTTTACAGCATTAATTATTGTTCCGTACCGGGTTTACTTTTTGCATTTGGGTTTAAATCACTAGGATTTAGACCCCGGCGAAACATAAAACGGCAGAGTTCCGCAACTCGGTACGGTGATAAGCTTCACCTGCCCCAAACTTTCCCGACCCACTAATCCCCACGATTCTTAATGTTTCCATTTTTACGAGTTAAAAGTTGAAATTTAAATGGACAACAGACGTAACCGAATATAGGGGTGTCGATAATAGGGGTGGGGAGAAAAATATCGTGGAGTGAGAGATCAACTTAAACCAAGATCCAATAGGTTACCTTACGCTTCCATGCAAGTACCAGTGGATGACGTCAGTGGGCGACCCAAATCCAAAGCACATATCTACACTCTCTTTTTAACTGTTTTTAATACGCGTTGTGCTGTTTTTTCTTGCTAACATAATAGTAATTTTAGTAGTATGCATTGTGTGTCCTGTTACGTACCGAAAGCAACAGAATCTCTATTTGTCTCTACTAGACGATTTATTACCAAAACAAAACAAATTTTGTTTAAACTGCCCGTTAGGTAACAAAAATACCCACTTCAACATCGCATGTCTATTGTTTTTGGACAGATATATCTGTCAAAGTGACAGGGTATCATTAAAACGTGAGCAATAGGTTTCTCTTTTCTGAAGAGTGTTGCTGCTTTATAGTTCCTGCAGAAAAGAAAAGATGTTTTATTTTTTGTCAAAATATGATGAAGTACATACATCAAATACATACATACATCAAATTCAGCATCACTGCTTTTCATGGTAATTTTGATGTTCTTTAGAGATGCTCTATGCCTATCGGAAAATTTGGAGGACTTAGATCGCTCTTTCAGTGTACACATGCTTTTAACCGCGAAGATTTAGATCAGTCTTTCAAGGGTTAACTATAGAAGAAGTAATAATAATCGCATTCTGAATTATTTTGGCTTTATAATCTTGACTTTCGATATTTTATTTTCTTTCGTTTGCCCTTAATTTAAATAGAGCCTTTAGAATAGTATTTTAATTTAAGAAAAATATTTCACATAATAGGCCAATTGGCTGTCTACTTTTTGTTCCTCTCATTTTCTCGAAATGTGGTATCCCCTTTGCTCGTAGTTACTTTCAGCTAGAAAATACCGATCACACACATTCTATATATAAATATTTTATTTAGAGAATAATGAAGTTATACAAGACCAGAATAACAAATTCAGGCAACATCATGTGCGTGTTAAGGCACAGATCTTAGACTCCCGAAGACAGACGGATCTCATTACTCAACTACCTTATGATTTATGTATTTGAAATGACCTGTGGACTCAAAACAACCATTTTCTTTTCATCAATAAGAATGTCCTTTCACGTCTTTGTTAAAATTTACTTAGTGAAGTTTCTATTGTATGGTTTTTCTTATGTGTGGTTTAATGTTTAATGTTGTTAGCGTTAATGCAACAAACTGTGATCGCAATAACGGCGTCAATCCTATCAAACCAATAGCGACACAAGCCAAACTGCAAATGCTTCAGCCAGGTGACCAACCTACTGTGTTTTAGGATCTTGATTTAAAACGGCAATTTTGCAAGGCCATTTTCCTCTTCTACCGTATTGACGTTGCGATTTTAAAAGACACTATCTACTTTTTTTTAGCTTATTCTAGAATACTGCTTCTAATATGCCACAGTTGTCTTATAGATAATTTAAAAATAAAACTAATTCTTTTGGTGAAGTTATTGGCGATGTAAAAAATGCGACACACCGTATAGCAGCTGTAGTGCGAAGGATATACAAAATACAAAGGTCAGTTTTGAATAGTTATCTATTCGAACTAAAGTCACGTTGCCAAATTGACCTCAGAATAATGAGTTTCAAGGATCTATTGTTCTAAAATCCCTGCTGACTGATCCATATGAATATTTTCGATAATAACTTTTCTCAAAATTTCGGATTTAGGGTAAATATTATACCAAGACGCATTTAGGACCTTTCTAGTCGTTATCATCTGGATACCAAGTTAATGACTAAAAGCTTTGGCATTAAGTATATCATGTATATTATCGTTGTATTGCTATTTCGGAGAGGGAAAGATTAACGACTTATCTAAATATTAATTTTAATGCTATCAGATTACATATTATATATTACATATTATATCGATACCTGAGTTCCGGAAGGCGAATAGTGTACGCTTTAAGGAACAACGGAGTGAATCCATTTGCTGCGATTAAAAGTGCTTTGCACCAGATGATGTTTTTTTGTTTGAGGATAATGTTATTCTCCAATTCTCATTTGTTTTCCTAATTATAATCGAAATGTTTGAGATTGATCGTGGGGTTGTACATAAACCTGAGTAAATGAAAACCTGTTGTATCTGATTCTTGGATTGTTTTTTATGTTGTTTTATTATTGTTATTTATATAGTTTTACGTAAATTGATCTCGTCTATTTATACTTAACTACGCTCGGCAAGGTGATTCATAATTAAATTAAAAATAATTTGAAGCCATGAGTAGATTTTAACAAAAACATTTTATAATTTTGTGAGTTTGAAATGCCAAACTTTTTACAAAACTTCTGGATTCTTCCTGCGTCGGTTTTTGCTGAGTCGAAATTGCGAAATTGTTGAGGTCTCTACCTGTCACCAATTTAGCGCCCCCCTCAAACAATATATAAGCAGGTACAGAGTAAAATAGGAGCCAGTTTCAGACAAGCTCCGAAGAAGCCAACAGGATGATTGGCGAAACGTCAGCAATTTCGATTCAGCAAAAACCAACGCAGAAGGAATCCAGAAGTTTTGTAAAAAGTATTACAATAGCCTGTGGAATTTTCTTTGAAAAATTAAAATGCCAAAGTTTTTAAGTAGACCTGACAACTCTGTATTTTTCAAAAGATTCCTATCCCAACTGTTTGTTGGATCCCGAACGTGAATCACCTTGCATACTGACCGCCCAATTTTAATACATTTTTTGATCCGGCTATATTCGGTACGTCCTGTCAAACTCCAAATTTTGCAAACTGTTTCATATAAATAGGAAAAAGTGGATGACATCGTCCAAAAATAACCGGGTCAAATATCAGGCCACAATGCGCTGCCTCATTCGTATTAAAAAATGGGCCAGCGTAACCTAGAAATAGTATCTAGTTCGACAGTTTGTCTGTGATATATCTTGTCCGGCCTATTATAATTTATTTTCCGATTTCGCATTGGCTTAAAAAAAATTATATCTTAAAGTCACTCGCTGCAATCTCATTTTGTATACAATCTTATTAAATAAACCACGATATGTATCAGTGGTATAAAAAGCAAACGTATTGCAATAGAACCTATTATTGAAATAATGTGTGTAAAAATGTATTAAATGTAAAAATATTGTTATCGTAGGTATCTTGCTTAACATCTTAATCAAACTTTCCGAGAAATAAGACGCATTATTGCGAATTCGTTCTTTTGTGGACCTACATCACGGTTCATTCTTGCTGGACTTCAGATTCAGTTGTAAAGGAACCTTGAATCCTTCGATATTAAAAAATTGTTAATATAAGAAAATGTAATTATTTATTATTGTAATAAAAATCTGTACTAATGCACAATTGTTTTACTTAGCTCCCTGAAAAAAGATTTACTGGATGTTATCAGAAGGCATCTTAAATGAATTCGATGCAAACTGAAGAAGTAACTGCGTGATAGAAAAGTGCGGCAAATTTTACAACGGAAAAAGATGACCACTTATATAAATAGAAGAAATGCCGTTGTATGATTACTTTATCATTCGTACTGAGATAGGTTGCAATATTAGTATTTGATGATTAAACAATGTATTTTTCAAAATAAAAATAATGATTTAAAAAATCAATAGCGCATACAAAACTGTTATGCTGAGAACTTTACAATATTTCAGTTTTTTCTAACGTACTGAAAAAGATAATTGTTGAAAATAGCATCATGTATAAATAATACTAAAAATACACACGCATTTAAGTAATATTTTCAATTTATTGTAGAAAAGACTTTTAAAAAACTTTTCTTCTTAAATTACATGCATAGCATACCAAAATACTGATCTGTTTTATTTCTATATAAAAGGTACAAATCAAATAAAAAATTTTCGTTATTATATGGAAATATATTACCATATATTCCATATATATATTTATATGTTTTATAAACATAACTTGATGAGTTATTATTTATTTAATAGATGTGAATGTTTTACCCAAAATAAATTTCTTTTGCATTGTTGCTACCATATGCAACACAAAAATTCAAAATTAAAAAAAATGTTTATTAATTAACACCAGCATGAAATTATCGATAGGTATAATTAATTTACCGTTAAAAAGCAGTTGGAAAAACTGAGAATTAATATAAAACAATCAGTTATTACAATTATCTGGCATTAGTATTAATGTGTATGACAATGGAAAGAATCCTAATTACGTATAGTATAGTATAGATTATTCCTCCACTATAAACCGACCTCACTGCATATTCATTCAGCCAATAAAAATTATTGGAAATTTTCCAGGCCTCAAAGGACTTGTTGCCTAGAAATAAACTTGGAAGTCATGCTCAAAGTCTTTTTTCAATGTGGTTTGACTAAAACCACAGTTCTGAGTCTTTCGGCCAATATCGCGCAAGACAAAAGGCAGAAATATTCTTCAGATTTATTTTCTATATAATAAAAAAATTAATGTATAAAACAATCAGTCTTTTTCACAAAGCAATTCAAAACTATTTCCTTGCTTTGCAACTTACACTAACAGATATATACAAATCAGAATCAAGAACCCATTGGTGTGAATGTCAAATGTCAAACGAAAGACGTCATTCGCTCGCATTTGAAGTCGGCTTGGAAAAGTGCAACTGGCGGCCGCACTCCCAAGAGCTCGTTTCTCACTTCTTCCAGACTTTTTCCCTTGGTCTCTGGCAGCATAATGGAGATGAACGCTGTACCGATGGCGCAAACTAGTGCAAACATCAAAAACGTCCCACCAGTACCGAACCATTGCGTCATATTGGCGAATTGATTGGTGACCGTAAACGCCAGGAACCAATTTAGGGAAGCGGAAATTGAACTAGCCGGCCCCTTAATGTCCGGAGTGAAGAGTTCACCCATAATCATCCACGGTATCGGGCCTATTCCGATTGAGAAGGAAATTATAAATACAGCAACGCTCACTAACGGTATAAACGAGTAATCCGACAGATTTCGGAACTGGCTGAGGTAAAAGTAAGATCCCAGTGATGCTATGGACAAGGTCATCACGAATTCCGAAACTACGAGTAGTAATTTTCTTCCAGCTCGATCGATGAGGATTGTAGAACCGAGAGTTGCCAATACCTGGAAGAGAAAGCTAAATTGGTCTACTAAATTTTAACACTATCGGTATACAGACGGAGATAAAACAACCAAAAACATCATAATGGACAGACAATAAAATAACGTAGGAAAAAACAGTTCCTACAAAGCATAGCGGATGATGAGGTAAGTTTGAACTTCAGAAATATCATCCCCACATTTTTTTTTCTGGTACTACACGGTTAAGACTCAAAAAAAAGTTCCGCATTGCAAATTTATTTTTGCAAGTTAATTCCCGTCCTCTGCAATATTTCTCAATTTTTGAATAAATATTTAGTTATTTAGTTATTATAATTTTGGTACTTTAAGTTTAAAAGTTCTCTAGTGACAATGGTGCTCATGTACTTTGTGTAATTTATTGTCATCTCGCTTTATTTTTCTTTTGGTCCATGATATAGATATTTGAAAGTTCATTAAAGCGGTAGGCTAATTTAAGTGTCAATTTTAATTGAATTAAGATTTATCAAGAAAATGTACTAAAAATGTCTGTCTGAAAACTAACCAAATTAGTATTGGTAAATACCGCTCGCATTTTTTTTTAAATTTTAAATGTTTAACGAAGCTACCGAAACGATTTATAGCTCGGATTAAATTTGCTGTTTTATTTTTGCTGATTATAAATTATTATAATATTAAGTACATTATTTTTTTGTTGATGTTTTTGTTTTCGCACGAATTTCAGATACTACATTACTTCTTTTTTCAATTTCAATTTTTGCTTTGAGTTTAGTGAAGAGACATGTTTTTTGTAAATTATAACTTTTGTGTCCTATTTGAATTTTGTGTCGCTTGAAAAAGGTTTGGAGTTTTTCAAGCTTGAATTGTAATTTTTTGTGAAAATTATTGAAAGAGTTTAATAATGTTTTTCTTTTCGGAACTGCAGTTAGGATGTCGTCGGCATGTCCATAAAAAAGGTAAATTGAATTGAATGTTTTTAATAACATTTTCTTCCCTAGCCCAAAAAACATCCGTCATAATAGGTCTCGCAGGCAGAGCAATAATGTTATCCGATCCAGAATATAGACCAGACCCATTTGAAAAAGCAAAACGCGCACTTCTAGAAAACAATTATCGCAAAAACTTAATTAATAATATGTTTAGTAAACGTACCAACACATTTTATAATAACGTAAACAAAAACAACATCAAAATTCTCAAAGCAAATATATATCACTTCCATATATACCTGGATTATTAGAAAATCTCCAAACTATTTTCAAGGAACACAAACAAGTTATAATTTACAAAAAGCATATCTCTTCACTAAACTGAAAGCAAAAACTCCAATTGAAAGAAGAAGTAATATAGTATATGAAATTCCATGCTCTAATTGCGACAGTGTGTATATAGGACAAAAAAAAATAAAACAGCTCTTCATACCCATTGCGACAACTCCAAACACACATTTAATTTTCAAAAAGTTAAAGTCCTACTAACAGAACCTAATATCAAAAAAAAAACTTTATGAAAGTATAGAAATCCAAAAAAACAAAAAAATCTATTAATTACAAAACCGATTCTAAAGGCCTTAACAAGATATGTCATTCAATTTTAAACCAACAAAATTAAATTAATCAATATATTTGCAAGTAAAAAACATCCCTATCTACTTTGCATGCCATTCCAATCCGAACAAAATATTTGCTGACAAATTATGTTTATTTTAAATATGTAATATATTAACGCAACATCAAATGGCATTAATTGTAATAATGTCACTTTTTGAAAATAAGAATATTTTGATAAAGATCGAAATTTCGATCGAAACGATAATAGATACTTAAAGAAATTACGTTATTTGTTTTCGAGACACACATAAATAATTTTTTCTGCTCCCGTCTGTAAAATAATTAATTACCCACCGATCTAGCGCACGGGAAGCGTCACTTTACCACGTCCACAGTTTCGTTTCTCATGCATCCGAGCCACTTCGGACATTTCCGGGATTTTACCACAGGGGTTTGGAAGCAATCGGATGTTTTCGGAGATATTTCCCACGCTTTGAATTTTGACAGTCATGTCAGTGAATGTACTCGTGTTGTTTTGCGAAAATGTACCCAAAAACTAACGGTCGTAGAAAAAGTATAGTATGCAACACGTTCGGTCAACTTTTTAACTCCTTCGTTTATTAAACACTTGCTCCGCTCGTGTCAAGTAAACTCGTGAGTCAAATGCCGTTTTGCAGCACTTGTTGCATAATATACCATTTCTCCTTCTTTACTATTTTAGGTAGGTTGAAAATAACCGACACGTCCAATCTGACGTTTGAGGTTTGACAAAGGAGTAAGTCACGTTGATAATTATAAATAAATTTTAAAAGGAACTTTTGGTGCGTAAGCAAGTTATCCAAACCACTAAAAACTGATGACACAAATCAATTTGTGAGAAAAGCGTGCCAAGCGGTTGATAAACTCGAAATGTGACTTGATTGATGTTTACTGCTTTACTGTCATTGTCAGACAGTGGTCGATAAAGAATCTGGTGGACACTAAACTAAATAAAAGAGCTACTGTAGCTAAATAAAAAACAAATATAGCATCCGAGGAAATCAAGAAGAAGTACAGAAGAAAAAACACCTTGCAAGAATGAACAAAATTGTGGTTTCGGTTAAAATCAGCCATTTATTAGTACGATCATCATTAATGGCGCGGTGATCGATTATCCGATATATCGATTGTTTATTTATAATCCAGGGATAAAAGGTCAAGGGCACACATGTAACAATTGGTGATTAGCTTGACTGGAACAAAAAAAAACGTATATCTTAAACGCAGCAACTATTCCATCCACAAATGTGTATGTAATTTGTATCCATTTTTTATGAGCAGTCGGATCAACTCCGTCCATTTGAATGTAACCTTTGTGCATATAAAATGCCCGACAAACGATATATTATTATAGTCCGTATTAGTTAAAAGCAGTTCATATATTATAAAAGAAAGAAAAACGGAATGAACAAGGTACAGATTAGGAATGAAAGCGAAACCAAAACGTAATATTTATCCAAAGTGTCTTTTATTTATTTACAGATCCGTATCATTGTTATTTTTTAGTACAAACTGCATTATGCAGTTCGTGAAGCTTTTTATGACGAAATTTGGGTTCGAGCAAAACCACGCATACTTGAGCTTCAAGATAATTTTAAAAGCTCTTGAAATGGTGGATTTTTTTATTTTGCATCAAAAAATTGATACAATAAGCTTAACACCTTCAGAAGAAGACGTCACTGTGTGACTGATCTAGTAGAATGGAGCAACATTTCATAGACAGAATTGATGGCCAAAATCATCTGAAAAAAGAGACCTGTCGAATGCGCTTTTTCTTTCAGACCATCGAAATTTAGGAAGAATAAAAGCGAAACAGTCCAGGTACCATTTTGCGAAGTGTGTGAGTGTGTGGAATATTAAAAATCAAAATCAAATACGTTTTTGAGCGAGTTCAAGAGGTGCTCTGCGAAAATGTGTATTCCGAACCACTCTTCGTTAGGGGTACCACAAGGTGGCATAATGGGTTTCTTGCTGTATACAATCTATAAGTTTATCTTTGTAAAAAGATTTTAAAATATTGTTATTATTTCTTTTCAAGATCATGAAATAACGAAAGCTGAGACTAAAATTAACACTGATTTAAAGAACTTTTATAAAATTGCATCAGATGATCCACGGCAGCTACATCCAACTAAGTCTTCGGTGTTGGTTTTTGGAAATGACCCCCAGGTACATAATGTCAAAAACAAAATGATGATGACGCTCCTATTCTATACTCGGATACATCGAGGGATCACATTACAAACAAATTGAGAATAGCGTATGGAAAATTAAAGTTAATATACAGTGCTAGATATTGTCTTCCATTGTTACAAAGAAACTGCTATTTGAATTCATCGTTCTGCCACAGTTCAATCAATTGCTGTGGTGTTTACGCAATCTCTCTGGACGGTGCTGACGAATATCGTATCGTAAAATTTATGTTTGCGACTTGTTTAGGGAATTCGCCAACTGGATTACATTTCTCCATACTTGGATGCTGCGGATTATCTTAACATGTGCGATATGTTTAGATTACACCGTGATACATTCTATTTCAAATTAATTAAGTGTAAATCTTATGAATATCTTTTTAACAAAAGCACTTTTCGTACAGACTTGAATCTGAGAAAAAAATTTATATTGAGAATAGAAAAGAAATGTTTAAAAAATCATTTTCCTATAGCATTGCACAATAAATATATAATTAATAATAATTAAAGTCTTTTCGATTCAACAATATCAAGCAAAACCTTACCCATATGCTTTTACCCTATTATAAACTCTGAGTAATATATTTAATTTTACTTATTTGATACTTTTTTTTTCTTGTTCTTTAGGTAATTCGGTTTACATCAAATTGAGGCTTGAACAGTGTCTGGCTTTGATAGATGTCTGAATTAGGTCTTTTGTTTGCCTTAAAGTTGGTACTATCCAATGTTTTGTAGTGTAATAATATGTATAGTTGGCACAGCAATAAATGTATTTATTATGAATATTATTATTATTATAAAAGTAGCAGCCTGTAGGTGCCTGTTAAAGCAAAAAAAAAAACATTTTTCAAAGAAACTTCCACATGCTACTACAATACTAATTACAAACCGTCTGCATTCTTCCTGCGTCGGTTGTTGATGAACTAAACTTGCTGACGTTTCGCAAACTATCCTGTTGGCATCTCCAGGGCTTCTGCAGTTTCAGTTTACTTCTGAAGAAGTCAACAGGATGATTGGCGAAACGTCAGCAAGTTCAGTTCAAAATGGTAAGAAAAAGTCTTTTATATTTAAACACGCCAAATTTGCACATTTGATTGACTCCAAAACCCATAAACAAAAGGAAATTGAACGCTGCGGGTTGAGTAAATAAATCTTGCAAGGGAGACAAATAATATTGAATCCCCCGTTGCGAATATCAAGTTATTATGTGGGGGAGGAACTGCAAATATCGGAAAAATAAGTAAATTGAAATCGTATATCGCCAGCATATATTTAAACCACAAATGTTTATGTAAGAAGAAACGTGGAAACGTAAATGTGGCAACATTGATTGGCAAAAAAGAGATACTATACTTCTAATGAAAAAATTGAATTTAAAAGGTACGGCAATAAACCTCAATATAACAGCTTTCACGCGGGACGATCAAGCTGGTAAAATGTCGCATCTGTAAAATGTTACATAGATTTTTCCATTAAATGATACCAATCTGGACTCGTAAGGCTTATTTATGGGGATGTTCGGTCGTATATTTCTGTGACGTTTCATGATCCGACAAAGAAAGAAATACCGAAAAAAATTGACAATTTTAATATATAGGAATGTAGTGAATCCGTATGTTTAACTAACTTGAAATTGATGTGATTATGATGAATTGTTGACTTATTAAGGATACTGAATTATATCAGCACAAAGATACTTTTCATGTTCTCAAACTTAAGGCTACACCTATAGAATAATACTTTTATAGAAATATGGGTATCACGATTTACATGATTTATTTTTTCAAATACATCTATTTTATATTTTTATCTCAATTCTAGATTCTGTTCGACGTTATCATAAGTAAATAATCCAAAATTGTTTTCCCTTTATCTTGGGTAAAAATGTATGTAATTTTTAAAAACTCAATACTAATATATAAAATGATTACGTATTGAAGATTGTAGCAATTGAGATTATTTTCCTTAGTTTTAATGATGGTTATTATGTTTTCGGCTATATGTGGAAAAACTATAAAGATTTTATAACACCAAAAAAGAAAATTGTATAATTAACGCAGATTAACTAAATATTATTCAAGATTGCTGTTTTTTCTTCCATATTTTATGTAATTTTTACTTTGTTTAAAGCGTTTTTCATCTTATGTGACGCACCAGATGATCAGTGATGACCCTTGCGAATGAATAAATTAACAAACAAATACATTTAAATACACTCCTTTCACCGCTGCTACAGTAAACTTAAATCTAATATTTCTCGTAAAACCAGAGCATGAAATTTTAATTAGACACTTTGTTTGGACTCTGTTCTCTATGACTCTGTTTTATCAAACCGAAAGAATATTTTTAATTATAAAAATGACTGACAAACTGCGAAACTTCGTCTCCGAGAAAACATCAGAAATTCGCAAACACAACAATCATTTACTATCGCTTAATTACTGCTCAAACACCTAGTCGTTGGGAGATTTATATTTTAATTTTAACGGTTCTAAAATGATTTATATTTCGAATTAGAGAGATTAATTCGCAACCTAGCTAATTAAATAAGTTTCCATTTTGCCGCTGCGGCTCTTGGATAGTGAAACTTGTTAAAATAGCTCGTTCCTAAAGGAATAAATTATTCAATTCGACCTCGTATTAAGGCCTTTAAATATTCTCAATTTTAAAACTAGTTCTTTAAGATCCGACCTCGACTTTTACCCGCGGGCCGCAGAAAATTGAATTTCTTCAACATTGAGGCCACATCATTAGCATATTTGGCCAGACATTTTCGCTTTTAAATTATATATTGAATTAATTACCTGTACTATTCCAATCAGAATACTACTCCCGCTTGGTGACAGAGAACTTCCGCTGTTTTCGAAGATATTGTTGGCATAGAACAGCACAGCGTTTACCCCACTCAGCTGCTGGAAAATCATCAATCCGAGGGCTATGATCAAAGCCTTGACCGTTGCTTTGTCCCTGACCAAGTCCGACAGTTTGGTTTGGTTTTTCTTCGACTCCTTTAGATCGTCTACTATCGCCGCTAATTCGTCTTCAATTTCGTAAATTTCTCCTTCAAATGAAACAATGAATCAGCATGCATTACAAGCAATTACAAAAAATGTTCAAAAAGTAAGTCTGTTGCAGTCTGCCTTACTCACACTATTAAGAGAAGTTAAGAAACGGCTTTCTACAGTTTATCTTGCAGGCTATGGTGCTATGAAGAATGGACGGAGAAGGATCTCATGACTGCACAATTTGAGAAAATGGTTCTTTTTCAACTACCACTGCACTCGTTCAAACGGCAGATAACAGTTCAGTGAGTAAGTAGCCAAAATTTGCAACGAATAGGCAGTTTAACAAGAAGAAGAGACCGCTATAACCGCTTTAGGGTGAAGCACGTGATAATTGCAATTTGGTATTATTCAATATCATTAATCAATTACAATCTTGGATATTTCAAGAAAGAAACCAACTTACTACGACATCTTGACCTATGTCAATTTTGCATTTGGTTACCATTAAGGTTTTCTTTTATGTAATTTATGTGTTAACGTCAATTTATACGATACTTGTACGTTAAATGATAGACGTCACTAATTATTTTGGTTAAAAAATTTGCTTAATATTAACTGAAATGACCATACAACCTTACTTTTTCTCCTGGCACTTTTACTTAGTGAGTTCCCTGTTCCCTTATTCTGATATTTTCCCGATATTGCATAAAAGGATTCGTCCAAGTCTTGAACGTTGAAGAAAAACTTGTATTGGTAAGAAATACAAATATACAACTCAAGGGCAGGTGATAAACGAAGATTTTCATTGGCTTCCAAAAAAAAAGTCAGTGTAATTCCAGTTTTAAATCTGGAGAGAACACCGTGGAAGAAAGTTTTTCTGGAGATATTTTGGAAGACACAATGCAAAAATGACCTTCAAATTATCGATTTCGGTAGTAGATTTCATTGAAATTACATACTTTGCATTAAATACACAACATACACACATAAATACACAATCTAACTAAAATTATACGCATTTAAACTTCAGATATTCTAACTACACTAATACCGGCAAAATTATCGTAAAATGTGCCATCCTCCCTTCAAAACGGAGATTTTATGTATGTTTTAGCACATACGAGGTGTGTTCCAAAAGTATGGTGACTTTTGTAATTGGGTGGGCTACGTACATTGGATCTTCGATATTTTTTTTGTTTTGTTGGTACACATGGACAGAGGTTTGGAAGGATTGAAAAGATAAAAAAAAATCTCTGGAACAGTTCAAGGCTATACCAGAACTGCTTCGAGGATTCGAAAAACCGTTGGCCCGAGCATATTATATCGGGGGGATTACTTTGAAGAAGACGACATAATATTTAATAAATAAATACTTTTAGATAAAACCTCAAAGTCACCTTGCTCGTATATTAAAATTGATATTTTAGACAGTATTACAGATTACACTGATTAATTACATTAATTAAAACATGTTAGTAAAATATTTTTGGTATCCGTCACAGTTCAATCAACACTTAAATCCGTTGAATGCATTTTGGTGTAAGATGAGGTAATTAATAAAATGCTTGTTGAGACTATCTTCCATATTATTCCTAGCTCACAGTTCACCACCTTTTTCTGTCTTTCCCTATTCCCTGCCTTTGATCTATTAAAACCTTGACTACCTCTAAACCAAATAAGACTCTGTCTCGCTTCCTCCATTTTATCCTTGGAGCACAGAAATACTGGCGATTCGGGGATGAATACAAAACACAGCATAAAAACTACGGGAAGAACCGAAGACGACAGCGACAAGGTGCGGATATCCGTTATCATTCCACCTGAAACAGAAATAGCCTCAAATAAAATTCCAGTTTTTGGTGAGTGAAAATTAATTTCGCGCTAGGGTGAAAGAGCAGCAAAATGATTTTGCGCATTTACATCCGCCGAAACCGTACAATAACGAATTGCAAGTGTTTAAATAAACGTATTTGCTAAAGCTGTTTGTTTATGAGATTGACGTTAAACATTCGGCCATGATGTACGAACAGCGCGGCACCCAAATTAAAACGTAATACGGATTCCAATAGTATGTAAATAAGTGCTACAGATTTTGCAATTACCCTTTGGTTAGTTTGGATTAACTTTTTTGCATTGCTTTATCGGTATTGAGCTGAATATGTGCATGTAAGTGCACGAAACCCTTAGGCGTAAACAAACTTTATCATTTTACTAAATTTCTGTGAAGAACACCCTTCAATCGAAGAAAAATGTTAAGAAACATTGCCTTGCCCCACCCACCCCTATATTCTTGAAGTTTTGCATTTGTTGGTGTAAGGCAATTGATGAAGCAAGTATTGTTAGGTTGAAATGAAACCAAATTGAGTCAATTAAACTGTCAGTAGTCTCAGACCTAATAAAAAAGAAACATTTCATAAGAACTTTTTTGACTCTCCTCTGTCGATCTTTTCAGTGTCGCAGTGTAGCCCCATAACTTTGATTTTTTTGATTAACCTGTATATCGTTTCATATTCTCCTATACCTATCTCTGGCGGTTTTCAAGATATTAATCGCACTTTTTTATGCTAAAACATATCGAAATTTGCAAACTTCTAGGTGCTAGTTACCTCTAGAGTAATAACTTTTCCAATGTACAAGGTGTTTACAAATCATATTTTTCAGGTTTTAAATATCCAAATAAACCTATTTTTAACATGACACGAGTCGATTATATAGACAAAAATATGGTGCGCTGCCGCCAAAAAGTGCCTTACCGATAGTCGGTAATAATTGCTCTAAAAATAATTAACTGGCCCTGTAATCATTAAAAAGAAATACTAAGATAGTATATCACATGACTATATATTTATGCTCGCGGTTGTGGTTTGAAACGATAATGATTAGTCACTATTTTGCAGTCGATTAAAAAATTTTTTATTGGTATTTATAAGATTTTCGAAAGCTAAAGGCTAAATCCATTGAATTATCGAATTATCGAATAGCTTTTTTATAGAATCTTTAAGGGGTCCATTTAGCCACTGATATTGCGCTAAGGTCTAAAAATGTACAAGTAACCAGAATTTATAGTTATTAGAAGAAAAAACGAAAAAAAAAATTTTTTTAATTTTTGAGGTGGGTCTCCTTGCCCTACCCACCCCTATATTATTGAAGTTTTGCATTTGTTGGTATAAAGCAATTGATGAGGTAAGTATGGGCCCTGGTGAAACAAACTTCATATATTTCTTTACTTTATATCTTTTATCTTACAGTAATTGGTTATAAAAATATTCTTTAAACAGGAATATACAAAATCATTGAAAATGTTTTCTTTTCCTTCATATGACCATTGTTGATTTCAAGCAGATTGTCATTTACAAAAATTGTGTTTAATTAATTTTTTTTTGTACTTTCTTAAGAATTACATGATAATTTTTAATCCTTTTGGTTAGTTTACATTACTTTACATATCCACATACGTATTTAAAAACATTCGTAACGACGAATTAAAACAAAAAACACTTTTTTTTGTATCGATAAACAAAAAGGGGAATTTTAAAATACATTGCACTGAAAACTAAACTTAAAATAAAGTAAACGTATGTAGGTATTTGCGCAATTCGTATAGAACACAATTCACCACAGAGAACCTGGAAATACTTCTGCTTCCCATTAGTATTCCGTTTTTGCACGGCGTTCGTCATTCTTTAAATGAAAGAGTAGTAACGCCTCTCTCTTGGCTCATCTTAAATCTTTAATATGCTACACGCAACCGAGAGAGGTTTGGAGGCTTTTGTATTTGAGTTTTTTGTACTTGGTATGGCCGCTCGTTGCTTTAAAAGCGTTTCCATCACTCTAATGCGTTTATGCAGCTTATGCTTAAAAGTATTTACATATTTTTTTAACAATTGATCATAATACGTCGCCATTTATCTAGAGACAAAAAGCATTTGTTGTTATATGTCAATATCAGTAATGGTATTGAACTTTCAATTCGAGAATTTATTCTCATAAGGTGGCGCTGCAAACAGGAAATAAACGTCGTCTTAAGGAAGTATTTATTTATAAAGGGTGCTTGGTTTAAATAATTATATTTTTACACCAAAAACTATTATATGAACTGAAACTTTACTTCTGAAGTAGTTTGTCACTTTCCTGTCTCATGGGATCGACCGCATAATAATAACACCCATCTTACTGACATTTCGTGAAAAATAGTTTAAACAAAGTGAAACACCAAGAGAAATATCTAAGTCAAGCTCATGTTACAGGAAAACACTGAAATAGGTTTTTGTATGAAAGATTACGGGTTAAGTGTAACAATACGTTACGATGCGTTCGTAATAAGTGCAAATTTTCCTCAACTTATTGCGGCCCGCGCCGTCTATACCAAGACTTGGGAAGTACAGAAATGTAATTGACTTACCCATAAGGTATCCGATCAATATTCCGACGGTAATCTGCACTTGGAAAAAGGTGCCCAGAGTGCCACGAATCGAAACATGCGCTAGTTCCGCTACGTACATAGGGGCGGCGACACTAACTGCGCCTCCTGACAATCCCGCGAGAAATCTGGCCAAGTATACAACCCAGACATGGTGGCTGAAAATTAAGTTTTGTCGTCGCTGTCGGCTCTCGTTTTCAAAGTACTTACTATAGATACGCTATCAGGATCCATGATAGGAAAAGCGGGATTATAACAACCTGAAGGAAGGACTTTCTTCCAAATTTATTTGCCAGAGGACCTGCAGGTATTGCTCCGACGAACGCTCCTAACGTAACGAGAGATCCAATCCACGCCCCTTGAATTTGTGTGATTCCGATTTCAGCTGTCAGCGTGACGAGGGCTGACGAGGTCCAGCTGAATACCATGCCCAAACATATCGCTGATATTGTACCTAAAGAAATGGAAGACGATAATGGTGGGGTGGTGGGAGAAGCATTTTTCTTTAAATTTAAGTTGTTTGTCACTTTCTGGGGGAATTCCCGTCAACACTATCTGAAATGAAATGCGAAATATATTTTTTAACCATGTGAAATATGGAATAGAAAATATAGTATCGAATAGAACATTTATGGGACTAAATGAAATTATCCCCCTTGAGGGACGAAGAGAAATCAGTGGAATAGTCTACTGGTCAGCTATAAATAATATTGCTATTGACTGCGCAAGTTTGATCACGTCTGAAGAATTCTGGCTGGCCAAATTGGACTCAAAGACATAATATAGCTATGAGCTGTTTTCTATATAAGTGATCAAAAAGTTGAGGTCGTTCCTATTTAATTACTAAGCTAATTAATGTTGGTACCGGCCGGTACCGGCCATAGGCATTTAACCCTACGTACTGGTTTGTATCGAGTCCTGCGCAGCTCTTTAAGAGGTCTTTTGGCTAGAATGTCTTGAAGTGGTATTTCGAAATCTCCCACCATAAATAACACAAACAAACAAAAAAAAGTTGTGTGCTTTTTTTTATGTGGAAATGATATCTCATTATTTAATTTTTTTAATTTTTCTCTCCTGCTTTTGTTTGCGCACAACTATGTTTGTTTTCTTGTGGTTATATGGAAAAGTGGAAAAGTTATTTATTTATTTATTATAAATTATAAATATTTATTTATTATAAAGAAAATATCGACTAATATCGTTCAGGCACCGATTTTGTATATCAGGTTTAAAGGATAGGTCGGCGATGTCGATTTGTTGTAAGAAATAGGGGATGAATTTCGCATTTCTTGTAATAAGTGAATTAAAGCTTTGAATATAAAGACAAAAAATTCAGGATTGATGGGGCTATGCAGTGACTTACACAGACACGTAACAGTGCTGACGGAAATGTCTCAATCTGGTTTTCATTTAAACTTGACGTACTCACTTACAACATCTCGTACAATTTCGTAGAATATGGAAAAGCGTAAAATTATATGAATTGGGTTATACATTTTTAAGAACAAAATTTTAAGGAAAAAATTTAATTTAATTTATTTAAATGAGGAAATCAAAAGTACAGTACTCTAAAAAATTGAAAGGCAAATGCTCACTACCATTAAATTCTTCCGTAACTTCGGTAACTCTGGAAAGAAAGAATTTTCTACTGGAGAATTTCTTCATTAAATTAGTACAACTCTTACAACTACTCGACCATGGAAGCGACAACCCGAGATCTTAAACTTACCAACCAACTTATATTTGTCAAAGCCTCACTTTCTTCCACAACACTGATTCAGAATCAGAGATAGAATCACATAATTAACGAAAGCTCTAATGAGAACTTCATTGCCTAATTTGCATACTTACTTACAAATGCTGCTACGAACTGAGCTAGTTTGCTTAGAGTCTGATCTTCGTTGGCGTTGATCAATTCCGTTCTAGAGTTTTCGGTCAGCAGAACAGGGCGAGTCATTTTAGAGTTTTTTTTTTACCACGCACAGAAGAGACTCCGCTTAACCAAATGTAATTAAATACGCGAACTAAGTACTAAACCGATCTCCGGCATTCCGAAAATTTGTCTGCTAACGAAATACGCACTCCAAGCCTTATATATCTTCTTGGGGCTAAAGGTCGTGTTCGATAATCTTAATGGGAGTTGAGAGACGAGCCCCTCTCAGGTTTCTCCATTTATGGGAAAAACCGGACTTTGGATCTGTTTTCGTTTTGAGTGGAATGCCCTGAAAAATATATCATCGCATTTTGATAACGTATGTGCAAGATTTGATGTTCTCGAAGGTTGATTTTTATTTGTCTGAAAAATGAAGCATATCTTAACTTTAAGGTATCTGTTGGCGTGGAAGTTTTTATGAATATTATTCCAGAATATATAGGGAACAATTAAAGAGACGAATTCTTTCGACGACGATGTCAATTTCCAAAGAGCAGGCCAAGGTCAAGAGTAACGCTCGTAAAACTATTCGATAAGTCGACAAGGGTCATTTGTTGGATTCTGAGGCAAAGAATCAGCAAATTACTGGGTGATTGACGTTATGATATGATACGAACTTTCTTCAGCGAAGTTGTTTCTTCAAAAACCTAGCTTATCTACGGCGGAGATTTCATTATGGTAAGTTAGGGGGTAGAGTCGTTGCAATTAGTGCAGGTTTTAGGAGAAATGAGTAGTAATTAGCGGTAATCGGTAAATTTTGTGCAACACGTCCCATCTATAGGAACAAAAACCTATGATGACAGTATATTCCGGGATACTATTCCGTTAGTTTGTTGAACTCCGGCTGGAATTCTGCAGATGTTTCGCCAAGATCTCACTTCAATGCTCGAGCTCCAAGTGTTCGAAGTGTTTTCGGAGCGTGAGCATTGAAGATGGCAAGTGAGATCTTGGCGAAACGTCTGCAGGATTCCAGTAGGAGTTCAACAAACTAACGGAATAGTATCCCGGAATATATTGTCATCACATTTTTTCATCCATGAATCAATACTTGAAAAATGAAAAATGAAAATATATATATATATATATATATATATATATATATATATATATATATATATATATATATATATATATATATATATATATATATATATATATATATATATATTTATCTACACATTTTTAATCATCAATCTGCCTAAGTCCACTGAGGAAATATTATGGAAAAAAATCCGAAAGGGGGACAATAAAAATTAAATTAAAAGAACAGGATTATTTACGAGAGTTTGTTTGTTTTTCAAATAGGATTTGATTTGGATTTTAATTGGAGATTTCTAATGGAAGTTGATTAAAATTAGATACAATTTGATAGGAAAGACATCGTTTTTGTGCAGTGTTTCGGAGAGTCATATATGATTGGAAAAGTCCAAAAGAAAATTAATATAACTTTATAATAATAACTTAATAACTTTTTTGATATATTTATGGGGTTTTAAATTACAAAAAAAACTTTATATTAAACCAGTTTAGTTTAATAAGTTAATATGAAGTTAAACCAGGTCAAAAACGGTTTGGACAGATTTTTCAAAAGTCGCTTGAAGTGTATTTATTTACAATTTGTTCAGTGAACTAATATTTTTCAAAGTTATTGGAAAACCATCTAAGAATTTAGTTTATATTAAATAATGGTGGGATTGATATCTGTGGCTTTTGTATTACAACCATGTTTAGTCTTATAATAGAAGACATTTTTATTGTTAAAAAACTCCATGTGACATGTTCTCATTGTTGTCTTGTCCTTAACACAAGTATAGTGATCTTATTTTTATGTAGAATTAATTAATTGTTAATTAATAAACCAATCTGTTACTTCTGTGAAGTTTTTTAGTTGCAAAAATTAAATTAGTATCGCATATTTAACAATATTTTAACAATATAAATAAAAGGATTGGCTATAACATGCTCCCGTTCTATTATCTTATAAATTTTCAAATTTAAATCCGATTTTTCTTTTTTTCGAGTTTTTGAATTATTGTAAGTTTTCTTGCCAGATAATCATAGAGTCTTACAACCGTCATAATACTTGATCGTCAGATTTTTTTTGGACGACATTATTGAAACTATTTCACATTTCAACAAGGGAGTCAGATTTTAGCTATTGGACGATATTGTTATGTTGTTATGCTGTTAAATTTGACCAACATTTTTTGCCTGCTATCTACAAATCATCTGCATTCTTCCTGACAAACTGAAACAGCTTCAGCTCTGAACTACCCAATGTAATGATTGACAAAACGTTGGCAGGTTCTGTAGATTGTTTATAGTATTCAGTAACCTGTGGATGGAAGTTTCTTTGAAAAATTCTTTTGCATGGTTTTAAACATTACGTATAAAAATATGTCGGTGATACAAAAAATACACAAATTCTACAGTAACGTGTGTCAACACATAAATTTGACACACACATAAAAGTGACATTATCGGACCAATACAAATAAAAAGTAATGTCTGATTATGCCAGTTCAGGCAAAACGTGTCATCCGTTTTTGAAGTTATATATTGACCAATGATACTGTTGGTTTCGTGCGCTTTTTATGTTACCCATATTGAAACCAGTCTCTGAGAGAATAGATGGATTTTTCAATGCTGACTATGTTTCAGAGTTTATAAATTTAGCTAACATGTTAATTTTAAAAAAGTCGTATTGCAAGTAAGAACTGATGTAAGTTTTATTTCAAGTGCACTTAATCTTAATGCGTTTGAACTTTACTATTGTTTTCTCTCTTGTTGATGTTATTTTTGTTATCGTCCTCCAAAAAATCTCTGCTTACCTGTTGTCATTTATTTAATGGAAGCAAGATGGTAATGGTAATGGCAGATGTAGTTAATGTAAATTGCTGGTAATTTAAGTGATATTCAGTGGTAATTATCTAGGTAATTTCTGATAGAAGAGGTAATCTTTATTTTAAATCGGATTTTTAATGGTCGAATAAGTCATTTCATTTATTATTGGCAATCGGTGTAACTGACGCGGTGATTTTTATCGACCCAAAAAAATTCCCACTGCTGTTACAACTCGGATGTGTCAGAGGTCGGTGCCTTTTCGATAACAGTTATCACACTATCGTAGTATAACTGGAGTGTAAGCTGTTAATAAAATAAAAAATGGACAGGGAAATCAATATTTACGGCATACAAGTTTCACGATTTACAATACAATTCTCTAAATTTACAAAATATTTGTTACTAGTATTTAATTTCGGCATTATATAAAGTTGGCGCCAGAATCTTTTCCTCCGCTTGTGCTTGGGGTGTTACGCCTACAGCCTTTTGTATTGCGAGATGATTCTCGTCTACGGGTAGGTTGCTTGCTGCTACCCTAAATCCATCTTTATCGGCGATGTAGTTCACAGTTTGAACGACTCCATGCGCGTCCAGGTAAGAGTAACCACCTCTCACTACTCCGTCTGGTGACTGGGATTCAGATTTAACACCAAACGGACTCATATATCTGCAAGTTACAGGAAAACATATGTTTATTCATTTATTTAAGTATTTAATTAGTTAATTTTTATTTTTTATTTACAATAACCTAACTAACCGAACTAACCGGCTCGAACATGATTAGATAGATTATTTTTAAAATTTATGGTACTACAGTTATATTGCCACTTATGATGAGTATGTGTCAAGTAGAGTAGTATCGCGAGATGTATACTTATTCAGCAGCTGTAATTATATAAATACGATAACCAATCATAGGATAAGACAGTCTTTAAGTTGCTTTGCGTCAGTAATTATTGTGTGTACTTGTATTATAAATGAAATCCGTTTTTTAAAAATACGAGTTTCACGTTTTGAAACAAAATTGGCGCAATCGATAGGATTAAAAATGACCTCATCATAATTTAACTTTGCCATACCCCTTACTTCCAACAAGCCTTATTTTCTCTACCGTATATACCCCATACCAATTAATAATAAAATATCCGTTACAAATAATCCCTATTTTTTGAAATCGATAGACGATTTTTTTAACCTAATGGAAAACCCTGTATTCCACAAACAATTAATTTATCTTATCATTGTCCAATGATTCCAATGGAATATAAAGAAATTTCAGCTACCCAATTAAATGATAACTCTATCATAGTTATCCCGAATTCCCAAGAAAATATGTATTTCCAGGGCCCAAATTATAAATAAAGCATCTTTAATTCTGTCCGCAGTACGTAATGTTAGAATTGAAAATAATAATTAGGACTCTCAAAAAGGAGATATAATTAATTTAAGACTAAAACTCCCGTCAATGGCTATTAATGAAGAACTGGTTCAAAATATCGAACCAATGCAGTTAAGAGAAATTAATGTTGAAAATATAAAAGAAGACATGGAGAGTGCTTGAAACGTAATAAATCACCCTTTAAAACACTTAACCTTGGTAAACTCTAGTGTTTCAATCTCTAATAGTTATTGTTATAATTACATTAATAGTAATTAGTGTATTTTATTATTACCTGAAAAGGAAACAAAATGTAACTAACTAACTCTCGAAAATCAACCCCGATTTTCTCAAACTTGAGGAGGGAGGAGTTATATGGCCACTTATGATGAGTACATATAAAGTAGAGTAGTATAGCGAGATGTATACTTATTCAGCAATTGTAATTATGTAAAGACGCGAACCATCCATTCTATAAAACAGTCTGAGTTGCTTTGCGTCATTAATTATTGTGTGTATGTGTATAAATAAAAATCGTTTTTTAAAAATACGACTTTCACATTTTGAAAAAAAATTCTACCAGAAACTTGTAAAACATCGATACTGAACTGTTTTTGTCAACAAACGAAGCAACGTACTGTTGAGCCATACCTAGTAACACAAAAGCTTTTGAAAGAACAAAACTACAGTCAACATCAGGCAACAATGATTTCAAAAAGAAAATGAAAAAAGTATCATGCATCATGGCGTTCCTGAACTATATATAGAACACATTAATAACAGTATCGTAATCTGCATGATATTTTCTTTGGCTAATTCAAAATTTGAAGGAGAGGTAAGTACTTGTAAAAACTAAGTTCCTCTAGTCAAGGCCTGTCAGATCGTGTAAAAGATTCCCGAAAAGTTCAATCAAGGAAGACTCCTAATTTCAATCACCCATGGAATTCAAGAACTAATCCAGTGGCATTTTTCATATTTAGGTTCACAGTAAATCAGAGTGGAGCGTTAGTTAATCTAAAAGTTTTGCGTTGCAAGCGCTGAAAACCTAATAAATTTGTTACAGTCCTAAAAATAAAAAAAATGAAGAGAGCAGGACAATATGTAAACCCTGAGGCACACATGTAAGAAAGTCAGTTCATTGATTATTAGCAAATATTGCCCATTGGTATCGTTTTTAAAGTCATATGCTAAAAATGACTCCCGTTAAAAAATGATTGAGGTATTTATTATATGTAACATTTTCTTTATTGTAGTTAACTTTTATAAGTATATAAAGATAAGGTTTGTATTTTATATCTTGCTTCTTATTATATAATAATCATAACTAACACTATTAATAAATTTTTACCAATGAAATATGTACTCTTCTTTTGGTGACTTTTAAGACTTCTATTTGATGATTTGGTTCCATATTTTTTTCAAAGTCGTCTGCGGTAGTTCGAGTTTCTTTTTTTTAAATTGATAAAACCATTTTGGGAAAGTATGTTTATTAGTTTATCGTCATCAGAAGCTATTATATTTTATGTTATAAAAGTAATGATAATGATAGCAATACATAAATATCTCATTTCAAAACCCACTTCTGCAGAAAATATTATGGTGTAATAAACACCTTAAAGTCGGGATAAGTTATTATCTGAGAACGTCAACCGTAACTATTCAACTATGCGCCACCTACACGAGCATTGTCAACGCTGGACCATAATTTTGAACACAAACAATTACCTCCGTTTTTTTACTTTTTAAAAATTGCCACCGATTGGCAATTTACCCAAGTCAAATGCCGCACATTCTCTAGCCATTATCCGTTGTCAAATACTTTCCCAACGCGAAACAAGATGTCTATTGCACCAGTTCAATTAACGTGGAATATACAACAATATCGAATACTTTCACACTTCGATAAAATTTGAAATCATTTCAACGCATGCGACAGTCTAGAAACAGGGTCACGGGTAACCCTGAGCTTTACAATAATAGGTGTGGATTAATATCCGCTGAAAACCGAATTTGTTTTGATTTCGATAACGTTTGTTCTAATTTCAATTTTTTCCGCTACATCAGTTTCATGATGCAAGTAAATGTTAACTTATGCAATTTTGATAAAGCATTTTTTGCTATTTTTGTAAATTAGTTGATCATTATTATTTTGCTAATCGATCTTAGAAGTGATCGGAATCCTGGTGAATATAAATTTGAATCAGTGAAAAATGCCAAGGACCAAAGCACTGGTAGCTAACTGGAGAGTTGTTACTACATGTACCGATTTTACCAACACCATGCGGACCGTCCAAATCTCATCTTAAAATGGTTTCACCCTTACCCGTATGAATAAGGTTCGTAACCATACGATTCTGGTGCGTAAGCGGCTTGAGGAACGGGTGCCACGGGAAGCGGTTGGTTACTTTCCCCCGTGTGCACCGGAACAACATGTCCGGTGAGCTGATCTGGAATAGGGCTCAAACTTATTTCCGATCGTAAAGCTGCATCCCTAGCTCGAGTAGCTTCCAGCGTAGCCAAATGTTCGGCCCTGGCTTTCACCACTTCGGGCAAATCTTGGACAGGCTGTGGCAACACCGCAAGGCTAGCGTGACCTGCGTACGCAGCCTGCAGGGCGGCCAAATGCTCAGCGCGAGCTTTTACAACCTCGGGGAGATCTTTGACCGGTTCAGGAAGCTAAATAAAGTTAATATATGACAAAATTTTCCCCTGTGCGTCAATAACAATTCTTGTTTACCAACTGATGTGGTTGCAACTGGGGAACGTCACCATGAGCAACGGCAATTGGGTTCGAGTAAGCAACTTTTAAAGCGGCTTGAGCCAAATCGGATTTGACAGCCTCGTAGGCGCGCTGATGCTCCAGCTTGGCGTGAGCGACATCTGGGAGATCTTGAGGAAGATTAGTGGCTGCAACTCGAAAGCCGTGAATGGCGTCCGCAGTGTAGTGGACAGTTTGAAGATGACCGTCCCCATCTTGAATCGATAAACATGAGTACATGGTTGTCCAAAGTTTTTTGTACTTAAGAACAAACCTATGTAAGAGTATCCGCCGTGCGTTACACCGTGGGCATCTTTGGTTTCGCTTTTTGTACTAGTAGGTGTTGCGTAACCATAAACGTAATTGCCTGCATTATTCTGGGAATGATACAGGGATACTATTGGGTCAAAGTGCTCGGGTCGCAAGCCTACGACTACTCCCACAGGGTGTGCCTGAACCGCTGTGCCGCACAGGAGGATTAGCACTGAAGGAATCTGCAGATGTTTAGCCTACAGGGGTGGGATTCTGTAATTCAAAGCGCTAGCCATTTTGGAAAAGATAACGAAGTTAGAATTTGAAGCCATGGAAAAACAAAATGAAAGTTTATTCCGGTAGGTTCGTTATCTTTTCGTGATGTTATACTGAGCGCGGAGAAGGACGTTCTCCTAGGAAATAACATTCTCTCTTTATTTCTCGCCAAAGTGATAAAGCAGTAGAGTGAGCCTAAGGATCTGAGTGGGACATGAAGTTATATTTTATTAGGTTATTTTAACGTTATGGCAGTAGAATGTGTGAATTAAAAACAGAACAAAGTGGTTAGAATGTCAATGCATTTATTTATGAAATCATCCATTGATTTTAGAAAAATCCCTTTCACTTTTACGGGATCATATGCACCACAATATCACCAAAAATGTTCTGCGTCAAAATGAATATTTTCAGCGCCTCAGTAAAAAGAAAAACAGTATTGATCTTTGAATTTTTATTCAAATTGAAGAAGTTAACATCTCAATGTGCGTTTATAAGGGTATCGAAAATAATAAAATTTAAATATAACGTTTTTATTGGCGGCTTTAGGAAAAAAAATGATTTTTTTTCTATTTTCATTATTTCTGATTTACTTCAATAATTGATGAATTTTTTGAAGATAATAACAATTCATAAATGTGTTATGTTCTCTTTGCTACACGATCAAAGGGAATCTAATTTATAAAACTATGTTTCTTCTGCTCGATAAATTATCATTTTTTGTTAATTAGTCTTATCGGTAGTTTTATTGGAGTCAAATGTAATCTCTACATTAACATAACAATCGTTCAGGTCAAAAAAGAAGTACAGATTAAAATTCTGCGTCGAATTGCGTAAAAATTACGACGAACTCAAACAAGAAAATAGATTTTTTTAGTTATCTTTCTTTTCTACGATAAACGGAGTGTTTCATAGCAAAAAAAAAAGATTTTGGTTCTTCCCTTGTACTAGTTTTTTCAAATTCAAATTATTCAAAATTCTGCAATCTGGAATAGTCGCATTTCTTTAAAAACAGATTAGAAAATAAATCGTACTTTTCAGTTTTTTGTTCTTATAAATGGTGTTATTTTAAAAATTTCTCATATATTTTCTTATTGTTCATTAAAAAAAAACATATTTGTAAAAATTGGTATGTTTTTATTATAAACCGTATAACAAGTTAATTATCAATTTAAAAGGAATAAGAAGTGCGAAAGTAAATCTTAAGAATGAAGGATGTAGGTGAATGGTATATATGTTTACACCAAACATTTACGACCATTTTTAATGAATAATGTTATTTCTGCAGTGCGCCATCTCGTAACCTATTTTACAAGCTAGGAGTGGCAATCTGGAAGTCAACAACCACGTTGCCCCATTGGCCCATTTTCAAGCAATAAAAGCAATTTTTGTAATAAAAAACCATTTAAGATATGGCTAATTAGATGCATGACATTTATATATTAATTCCTTCAATTTATTTGCGTCAAATTTTATTTATTTATTTATTCTTTTCCATTTGAACTTAAAAGCTCAGTATATGAAACGTCATGAAGTAAACCAAGCTAGTACCTAAATAGGTGAGATATTAATGTTTCTAAAAAAAATTGAACCTAATATAAAAACAAGTAACATTGAGAGAAACTCATTATTACAAACTCAACTTTTAGAAACTCTTTTTCAGTTGCTATATTCAATCGCCTCAAAGCATTCAAGATACGAGTGAAAACATTCTTCTACCAAAATAGTAAACGCTAGTTTAGTCGCGAGTTTGATTTGGGATAAGCCCAGCGGGTAGTAGTAGTAGGAATGTTGTTGACATGTTGTTAACACTTGAGTGTATTTTTACAAAACAGCACGAAAACATTCACTGTTTGAATTGACAAAAGTCAAAATACCATGCTTAAAAGCTGACTTAAGATGACTCTTACCGATTTTCTAAATGAGGAAAGTTTGTGAATTACCTTAAGTTTTACATTTTCAGAAATGTCACGAGGAATAAATCATCTTCCAGTCTCATGCAAAGGAGAACGTAAATCAGGTTTGCTGAAAATGTTGCGTAACTATTTATGCCTATACTTAGTTATTTTGACGAATGTAAACTACAGCTCCTAAGACGAAGATGGTGTTTACAGTTAGCATATTCGCTGACCTTTCTGCATGACAGTCCGAACATATTTTTAAGGAGTCTTTTTTGAACAATACGATTTTGTGGAATTGTACTTTTTAACATGATTTAATTTCAGAGGCTTTAAAATGTCTCTAGAAACGGAGATATAGAATTTTTTATTGCGGATAAACAATAAACTTACCAAATACCGCATTCTCGCTACGAAAAACGGAAAACAACTAGTCATTACGAATATGACCTTAATGCGTTATATACCATGCCACGCCTTGCAGAGAGATTTTGCATAAGGCTGGCATATTGTTAATAATTTTACCAAGCTTCGACGATATTCGCAGCAGATTTTTAAAATATAACAGGCGAAAATTAACGCCGGTTATTAACAGATGAAATTAATACATTCAATTCGTCAAGGACCCCGTGAGATGCGGGCATTGTTTAAATTATTACGCGGGTTTGATGTGGGCTACACTGATGATTATCGACAAAACACTTCCTGGGCGTGGCGCTGAAGATATGCTGGATACGTTTTTTCTTTTTAGCGACATTAACGAGGACGACATGTAGTCGCTCTATCAGGCAGCAGACGGTCAAACGTAATGTTTATATGTCTCATTACGAGACAAGACATGTTCTTCCAAGGCTGCGAACTGTAATTTACAAATGTAAAGATATAAATCGAAAGCGTACGTACCCGCTTATGTGTCGCGTGTTGTAAACGACAGTCGAATAAAAATAGCTATGTAAACGCATTTTTTTTTTTAAAGAAAACTTTTTCTAAACAGGGTGATTTGCAAATGTTTTAAGGTGTTAAAATAAAGTTTTTTAATCTACAGCCGTTCTGTTGAAAAGATATTGTATCTAAAAAACTATTTTTTAATTATTAAAATTTTAAAAACAAACGCTATTCGCAACTTGAAAAAATTTCAAATAATTTGATTACTCCAATAGAAGATATACAGCCCTTTGTTGTTATACTGTTTGTTAATAAAGTATAGATTACTTATTTTTGATTTTTGGGAAAAGGGATCATTTTTTCACTAAACTTTAAGAACAACAATGCGGATTAAAATTTCCTAGTAATCTTAGTAAACTTACTGTAAACTGTTAGCGGTCATGTTGGTTAGTTAGTAGACCCTCTCAAAAATTTTCTCACAGACCCTTGACAATTTGGCATAGGCAGCGTTCTATATCTCTAGTAACTGTATGGGAAAATCATATAAATAATGTCAAAATTGTTTTCGTCAGCCACTGAAATTTTAGTAAAAATCGGCCATTTTTAAGGAAGGGTCCCAGGCAAAAATCTTATACGGAAGACCCACCCACCATACACGTCTCCTTAGAGCTGGACTAATTTTTGTTTAATATTTGTTATACTGTTCCCCTTTTTTTGTTCAGTTACTTTCGAAAAACATGCAGATGTAGAAAATTGAAAAAAAAATGAAATGTCCATTGGGGGGTCTTGGTTTCGATCTCTTTGTTCTTAAAATATCTATAAGAATTGAATTTAGTTTCTGAAGTTTAGTCCTTGCATATTTTTAACGAAATATTCTCGATAAAAACTTTATATTGAAATTCACTAAATATTGCGAGGTTTCAGTTTTTGAAAAAAAAAGACTTCTTTAGAAACGTTTTTTCTTTTAAGTTTCATTTTTGATCAAAAGTAATCGTTATCCTCTAAGTTGAGTACGGTTGTAATATTTTTTCTGCTCAAATATTCTATAACATAATAACTCAGATTTAACAGGGTTGTGAATCAATTTGGAACAGTTGAGTTTTGGTATTTTTAGTTACTACTAACAATTAATTTTATTAGTCCTTGAGATCAAGACATTTGAGCATTTGAATCCTTCTGATTTTGCGCTTGTTTTATTTGAAAATTTTCGGATTTCATCTAACATAACGAGCGAGTACTACAAAAATCACCTCAACTAATCAGACTTTTTGCAAAATAATCGTTGCGATCTTAGCAAATCTCGATATATATAAGGATATTTCTGCAACTTAAGATTATTATATTAATCAATTTTGACGTTTTACCTTTTTTGACTTTCGTCTCAAAATTATACCTCACTAAGAGCCATCCGCGGCTGGTGCAAAAAATTTAGAACTTCCAGAAAAAAATCATAATTAGTTTAACTAAAATAATTTCTTATCATTATCATAACAGTACCAGAAATCCATCACTTGAGAATTGTACTTTTTAATTAATTTTTTTAATTTTAATTTAATTAAAGCACAAGGTACGTTTTTTGCAAGAATTGCAGAACACCTTCAAATTTTACCCACTAGCCCAAAATACTAGGAGCTCTACTGTAAGATTGATTTTTGGTAAATTCCCGCAGATTGCGTTCTCTATTTTGCATTTTTTGGACTTAAAGCAATGCAGGTAATCAGGTACATGTAAACCTGAGGTTGACATGTACTACGAAGCAATTTCAACCGGGAAGTTCCTTTGTTTGCTTGTCAAGCATTAAAAGAATTACCCTTCGTGATTTTTCCACTAGACAGGCAAACCCATTTCATAGTTGATGCTAAAGGTTAATAACAAGCGTTGACATACGAGCATCGATAATAGCAAATAATAACCGCTACGTTATTGCTCATTTAATGCGTCATTGATTGCGTTACGCATATATTATTTATCGGTGAATTGGATACATAAATATCGGCTGCTGGAATTTCAATCGCCTATTGATTTCAAAAGAATACTTTTGAAAAATTGTGTTAACGGGACTACTAAATAAGGTCGTAGTAATTGCTAAGTCAGCACGAAAACAACGATTTGATATTGTCACAACTTTATTGCACATGATTTCTTTTACAAATTTTCGAAAACTCAGGTATTTACATTAAACGCCATATTAAATTTGGCTCGGGTAACCGGAAATCACGACCACAGTTTAGACCTGGTTATTTACCTTTAGGAAATACGAAAATGTATAAAACACATTCCCGTTGGCTATTTCATTGGATAAACATTCCAAGCCGATCGAATGAAGCACCGATCAATAATGCTCAGCACGAAGAAGACGATTGAAGAGTAAGAAAGAAAAATAAAATGATGAATATACGAATATTACTGGTCTGGAAATAAGCAAAACTGCCCAATGGTAGAAGAAATGTGAGAGGTATGGAGTTTCGAAGATAGAAAAAGTTAATAGTGTCCGTATCCAAGGTTGCCAGAAAGGGCAGCCGAATACGCAGCGAAGTGGTGCGCTTTCGCAGCTCTGACGGCTTGAGTTTCCTGCGGTTGTCCATCAGGTCCGATTTCAGCATATGGGCCGTAATAACGGTGTTCAGATGGACTGGAGTAAGCAGCAGCTGCAAATAAAAAAATATTTTTAGTGCATTTAATTTATATGGCCGGTAAGGTATACCTACCGGTGTAACCATGAGGAGCAGCGCTACCACGAACATTAGCTTCGCTCAGGGCCGCTAAATGGCGGGCTCGTGCCGCTTGGACCGCTGGTGGTTCTACGGGGACGCCATTGGGTCCGATGACTGGGATGTGGTAGCCTCCGTAGACGTCACGACGTCTGCGGTAGTGCCCTAGGTAAGATCCTGGACCGGCTCGTGCAGCTTCGGCGTGAGCAGCAAAATGAGCAGCCTTAGCCAACTGGACCTATCAATATTGACAGTTCAGAACGAATATCTGAACGCTGAGTATTTTAACTTGCCTCGGGAGTATCCACAGGGTAGCCTGAAATCAACGGAGCTGCGATCGGGACGTGGACTCCATTTCTCTGCGCGGCGACAGCAAAATCGTGATAATGTTGTACTTTGGCAGCGGCTACTTCAGGCGTGTCCAGTGGCAAAGCGTTATGTCCCAAGGCAGGTACACCGACGGCGGTATAAGGGGCGACTGGAGCGGAGTAGAAGGACGCACCGCCATGGGCGGATGACAAGGCTGCTAAATGGTTAGCGCGGGCTGCTTGCACCTCCACAGGCTCCACTGGGACGCCATTGGGGCCTATTACCGGGTAATGTTGGGGCCCGTAGTAGGCAGCCGAAGTTACGGCCAGAACACTGAATGCTACAATCTGTCAAGTGAAGGAAGGAATTAGGAATACTTTACAGAAAACGCTATAGCAAAAAGTATAAATAATTGTATTCTATTTACAGCGAATAGTTCCAGTCGAATTTTTTTTTTACTTTTTAGATCAGAAAAATATTAAATTTTATCTGCAACATGAATTGCGATGAATGTAAGGAAATCAAGGTTGCAGGGGGCTGCAGCCGAGCTATCTGTAAGAAGTATTACAGTCTTACAGTTACAGCTCTGCAGTTGTCGGGCAGCAAAAATGCAATAATAGAAGATAAACAAAGATGACCAACCTATTAAAAATAACTTCAGAAACAGACGAATAACATAACTAAATAACATCCATAGAGTAGAGTATTGAAGAAGCAAAAACATGAAGTAATAATAGTGATACTAAAAGACTATTCACAAACAAATCAGAATAAGAAGAAAAAATTAATCTATGCGATTTGGGGGTAATTGAAATATGTAGGTACACGAAGTAGGTGTGGCCATTTAATTCAACAAGAACGAGAAAATTTATGCACTAATATAAAACACTACAACTAAAGTTTTTAGCATCAACCAATTAGGACTAGAATGAAGATCTTTTTTCATTTTCAATAAAATAGTTGTTCAAAATCTAATAACTATAGATACAAGAAAATAATAAAATTAATAATAGTGCACCGCTACAACATTTTTGGTTACTTTTTGAGGAGGGGCTCCTTGCCCCAAGGGGGGCCTCCTTGCCCCACCTTTCCTTGCATTATTTTAAATGAAAACATTTGCATTGGTTGGAGAACATGCTTTTATAAAGACAATCTTTATATTAGACAATGTTTTAATTGCTGGAAATTTAGACAAATTCCCAAAGACTGCAAAAAATGGCAACCTGCTTGTCAAAACCGTTCTAGTGAACATAAGGAAATTGTGGAACTAATTAAGCCGGAATTGGAATAAAACTGCTGAAAATTGTTTAGAGAGACAAGATAAAACAGAATGAGCTATTGGAGCTTCTATTGAAAGTTTCTATTGATTTTGAAAAATCAATTCTACATTTCTAAATAAAGGATATATAGACACCAAGTGGGAAAATTTAAGGGGACTTACTTTGCTGCAATTAAACTGCAATCAGTTACATTTTTCTTTGTTATTAAATTTTCGTGGTAAAATTTTTGAACTTTTAATTGCAATCGTTTTTATTTTTGTAATATATATATATATATATATATATATATATATATATATATATATATATATATATATATATATATATATATATATATATATATATATATATATATATATATATATATATATATATATATATATATATATATATATATATGATGACACTATATTCCGGGATATCATCCGTTCGCTCGTTGAACTCCGACTGGAATCCTGCATCCGACTGGAATCCTGCAAATCTTGCATCCGACTGGAATCCTGCAGACGTTTCGCCAAAATCTCACTTGGCATCTTCAATGCTCGCGCTCCGAAAACACTTCGAACACTGGGTGGGAACACTGAGTGTTCGAAGTGTTTTCGGAGCGCGAGCATTGAAGATGCCAAGTGAGATTTTGGCGAAACGTCTGCAGGATTCCAGTCGGATGCAAGATTTGCAGAATTCCAGTCGGATGCAGGATTCCAGTCGGAGTTCAACGAGCGAACGGATGATATCCCGGAATATAGTGTCATCACATTTTTCCATCCGTGAATCAATACGTGAGAATATATATATATATATATATATATATATATATATATATATATATATATATATATATATATATATATATATATATATATATATATATATATATATATATATATATATATATATATATATATATATATATATATATATATATATATATATATATATATATATATATATATATATATATTTTTTTTTTTTTTTTTTTTTTTTGGTTAGTTTACTGTGTAGTTAGTATTTAGAATTTTAAGCTTTCGTAAAGTTGCTTAACCGTTGGCAATTGCTGAACAATTAGTCACGGTTCTACAGGGATCCGCCGCATTCCGATCCAGATGTCAATCTCCAATAGATCGTAAACAGCCGCCATTGTTTTCCTAATTAAATTAACGCCCACGGATCGCCTAATGGTCCCGCAATTACAACTATCTCGTCCGTTACCGGTATAGTTTACAAATTGGTATAATGTAAACGCATGGCGTAATGGCATTCACGCTTCAGACGTGCAAATTTGTCTCGGAATATTTATTACGTTTCTGAGGCTAATATTTCAAAACGTAAAAACGCGATACATATTTAAAAGTCATATTGAATGTCTCTATCGATACGACATTGCGTTCATATCGCCCGGAAAAAATCCGAGAGGTTCACCTTCGATGGTAATAATTAAAAAGTTCTATTAATTGCAATTTTATTTGGACCGCCACTAGTTATTATTATGTCTAAATAGCGCTCTTTTACTATACCAGGTTTTTCTCAAATGACCAAAAAATGAATAACTGCAAAACAATTAGCTGTTATCTCGCTTGGGTCTATTATCTCAAAACCAACTTCTAGAAACCCAAAATTTATTTTAGGTTTTGATTCTATTCTACAAATATTAAAATTTTTTGGGCAAGGCTGTCTTTTCAAAGGACGAAGTATTTTTAAGAAACAAATTTCACAGACGTGGTAATAAAATGCAAAAAGGAAATTGTTTTTCACAACTTTACTATTACTTTACATTTTTTTAAAATTTTATTGTTATTTATTATATATTACTAATAATTATTATTATTATTTAAATTGCTTTTTTATTTTTATCAAATTGTTATTAAAAAATTTTAAACAGCACCTTATTGCTGTTGAGTGGGACATTATACCTTGTGTGCAATCTTGTGCTCATAGTAAAGGCCTACTCCTTACTCCTGATTATTTAAAGATAAACTCTGCTTTTATGTTATTTTTTTTTTGCACACCACTTGCGTTGTTTTACCAAAAAATATTTTATGTAATCTTAAAATAATATACCCCAATGGTTTAAGTTTGTGGAAAGGTTCCCATCTATTAATGTAGTTATTTTCGATACTAAAATTGGATCACATTTAATTTGCCTTGCGGATGCAATTTTAGATTATTGTGTAATTAATATGTAATAATTTTGTACTGAAAATTAATTATTATTAATATTATTATTGTTATTAAATTAGATACATAATTTTTAACCATCAAAGTGATATATATATTTTCGGATAATTGCTAGTTTGACCAGTTTGAAAAAAGAAACCATAGCCAGTTCCTCCAAAAATAAACATTATATTCGAAATTCGAAAAAATGAAATCTATTTACATACATGACAATATATCTGAAATCTTTTTTAAATACAAATCTGCCGTTTTGTATTTAAAATTAATTTTTGACTATTCAAATACTAAAAAAAATCCTTCCGAAAATTATTTTCAAGAAGTAGTAAAACATTTTAATCTCACTCTTTGGTTTTTTCGTTCCTTCGAAATTCGAATAGGTATATCAAAAACGAAGCCCATGCGGACCGCTGCATATATTTTTTCCCTGAAAACTAGAGTTGTCCCGCGAAATATCAAATAATTAATTACTAAGAATACCCGTTATACAAAAAGCTTTCCATATCTATCTCTCTGACAACAACACAATATTTTTTATCATCTTCAATCTATGTGAATTAATAGACATTGATTATCGACATATTGATAATGATATAAAGAAATATTATTTTCATTACACCAGCATACGAATAAATTTGTTTCAACGGGACATTGAAGTTGAGTATTTTGAAAAAAAATTGATATTTGATTAGGCAATACTATACTGCGCTACTTACACCCCCGTGAACTATTTTGAAACGTCCTATAGTAGCAGTATTAGCAAACCACAAATGACGTCACTCATTAACACAAAATCACAACACCATACTCACCAAAATCTTCATGGTTGCGTTATTAACGGTATCAACTCTAACCTCCTAGTCGGTAGGACTGTCGAGTGTTGCACTGTGACTAGTGTTTGGCCCCACCCGGTATATATAAAGCCCCCAGAGGTGCAACAGCATCTGAAGAGCAAGGTCCCTTTCACCTCAGAAGAAAAACGGGGAAGACAAAGATGAAAATATGAAAAATGTGAGATTAGGCAGGGCACTTTGCATATGGACCGGATTTTTTTTTAATTTTTTTTTCTGGATTTCTAGGGAGTACTGTTGCCATGTCGTAATTAGGAGAAAATGTTTATTAAACGGAGCGAATATGTATGTCAAAACGAAGGTAAATTATTACAATTTTTATTTAAATTATAATAATTCACTTCAAAGAATTGTTAAATATTATTTATGGTGACGTATATGTATATGTATGGTAAGTATAATATACATTAACATATATTAAGTAAGGGTAAAACTGTGGTAAATTATTATTTTGAAAAAATGTTTCCCAAAATATTTGCATTGCAATATTCAGGTTGGCAGAAGATTAAAACTATCTGTTGATAAAAATTAATGATTTACTGAAGTTATCCACTACAAAGCATATTTAAAGCTCCTTGGGTCAGGTAAAAGCATCAACAAAAATAGTGGCGCATTCACCAGATCAAGAACAATTATGAAAATATATTTCACAAAAAAGTAAGTGACAATTACTGCTTTGTGAAGATGTAACACTACATACATCAAAATTACTCAATCAACATGCGAGCAAAAGCTGTTTAAAAGTTGAAGAATTACAATTTTAATTGTTATGCGCCAACTTAAAAGAAGAGAAGGAAGGAAAGTAAATCGATAAAAATATCTAGAGCATGCAAGGCAATGCTTCTAAAACCTTGAAAATTATTATAATTGACTCTTGAAGTTTTATAAATTTATTGTCTTAAGAATTTCCTCTAAAAATTCATATCAGGTCTTGTATATTAACTATCCAATTATTTATAATTAAATTAAAATATATATTTTTGGCATACAACAAAAAGAGAAAATTCATATTAACTTCCAGAAATGCTTAGTTTTCAACATATGAATATAATAAATTTTATTAAAAATTAATATATTATAATAAATTTTTTGATCGATTTTGCTGCAATTCGGCGACGTCATTAATAATGAGAAATTGGTAAGTTTGCTTTAACCGCTGCTTTAGTTAAAATTGTGAATTTAAGATGTTTAATTTTAAAATTCTTTGGCAGTTTTCGTATCTTGTCTCCTATTCGTGCACAATAAACTCGGTTAAAAAAAATTAATATTAAAGAAAATGATCAAAACAATTCCGACCAGTTTTATCGGAAGGAAGCCTACGACGTAAAGATTTACTTAAATATGAAACATATCGCATATTGGAAACTAAGCAAGTATTAATATAACAATTCCTTCTTCTGTTTTTTTCTGGTTGACTAATCTCTAGCTGATACCACGCCAAAATTATTTTTGCATTAATTTAATTTTGTTATGGACTATATACTAAAGGCAAACAACACGCTAAAATTGAGTTTCAATTTGCATATATCTGCCCATTGTCTGCCGATCGCATAACTTCTAAAAGAACACATATTGTAACACAATATTGCCAATAAGAACAATATTTCTCTTCATGCTCTGGTTGTCGTGGGGTAACATATTTAAAAATTCTTAACAAACAACTAAAAAAAAAACTCCAAACATTCCTTCGCACAAAAATGTGGTAGGTAATAAATTTTTAGCCGAGCACCTACGTGAAGAAAACAAACAAACCGACATTTTTAACGCATTTTGAATGGGTGCAATATTCGCAATTAAAATTACCCAATTGTTTGTGAAACTCGCCGGCACGCATTTTATTTATTGATCAAGTTATTTTTTTGTTACCTTTGCCGAGATTAACTAGTACTTGCTTTCATTTTAAAACGCTGCCATTTTGGAAAATCATTGGCAAAACCAACCCCATAAATGCGGAGACTTTTTTAACAGTAAATTTTCAATCATCTTCAGTTCTTATTTTAAGAATGAATTTTTCCCCTTCATAAAATATGTTAAAATAGACTAACATTGCCGTTGCAGTTTTTGATATTTAACGCCGGCCTCGAATTTCGTAACAACCTGTATACATAAATGTTTATAAAATTTGATTTAAAACGTCTGCTTATCTATTACTGGCTAATTCTGGTGGGTTTTGGTTACCAAAAAAATGCTGATTACGTAGTACGTGCGTCCTTGCAATTCTCGGAAAATAAATTAATATTAGTGTATTTTTTGATATTAGGCGAAACGTTATTATATTATAATATGTTGTAAAAACATGCTATAGCAAATGTAAAATTGTGACATTCTGAGGTGCCGGTATATGGAGCACCCTGTATATATTGCATTTTATTTCTGATTTTTATTCATTTACAGGTCTTAGAAAAAGATATGTCGAATTTTCGTGAAAACAATATCAAAGCCCTTGAAAATCAATCACCATTATATGTTGATACCATGTCGAATTTGAAATCAGAAAAAAGGAGAGATTTGGAATAAAAAACTGCATGCTCTATTCACAAAAAAAAAAGCAATTTTCTTGTACTATAGACAATGAGATGATAAAGATGAGCAGTCAGAAAAATGATCAGGAAAATTATAGGGTATTAAAATTTTCTAAAAAAATAGTTTTGTAATTTTATATTACTTTAGATATTTTTATCAAATTTGGTGTACAACTTCTAATTATTAAGAGGCAGTTTTGGTGCATTGGTGCATGAACTTGCTTTCGTATGACGCACGGTTTTCACTTAAAAAAATAAATAAATAGAAAAAAAATAACTACTAACAGGAAGACGTTTATTACCAAATAATATTAAATAACCGTAAACAAAAGATAACTTTACAAACAATACTCTCCCAGAAATAAATAAATTAGAACAACTGCTGGAAATGACCTCCCCCGACTTCGATACATGCGTTTGTGCGTCTTATTAGGGACTGGCGTACCCTTTCTAAAATACCAGGGGTGTTCCTAATAACGGTACAAGAGTCTTCTATCCGATTTCTTAGATCCTCCTCACTTTGAACTGGTGTTGTGTACACTAATATTGTGTGTCCCCAGAGAAAGAAATCAATCCAGCGATAAGTATAATTTTCATCTAAATACTGACGTGCTACTAAACTGAAGTGCGGTGCATAAGGCACATAGAACGTCTTTGCTCTAGGCGAACATCCTCCAAAATAACAGGTAACACATGTTCAATAAATTGTCTGTACTGGTCACCAGTAAGTCTGCCAGGCAGAAAAAAGTTTTAATAAATAAAAAAAGCTAAAAAATGCTATTTGGAAATCAAAAGTGTAAAAAAGATATGATCGTGAAAAAAGAATCACTAGATAATTAGAAATCATACTTATTTCTTTTTATGGGCACTAGTCATAGCATTACAGGTGCCTACTTTCAAATAGAGCGGACTTTACATAAAAATGAAAAAAATTGCATTTGGGTTATAGTAGATGCATTGAAATGGTTTTTATTATTTTAAGCGAAAACCGTGCGTCGTACGAAAGCAAGTTCATGCACCAAATTTGCTCAAAATTGAATGGGGATTTTAAAAATAATTTTTGTTTTCATAAAAAGCAGTGACGTGCAATTTTTTTCTCTAAAAATATCCAGTTCATACTCCGTACTGACGCCACTGGTAAAAATAAAAATATAGCTTTTGTGTCAAAAACCGCCTCTCGATAATTAAAAGATGTTCACCAAATTTGATAAAAATATCGAAATTGATATAAAAGTTATAAAAGGAAAACAATTTTTTTAGAAAATTTTGACACCCTGTATCTTGAAAAATATGCATTTTTGAAACTATGTTTATATGAATTTTTCGTTTTAAAATCACGCAAGGAATCGTTTCTTAAAGTTTGGCAGTCTACTTTTTTAACACCCTGTATAGTATAAATATAAAGATGCAACGATTTTCAAGATAATGCAGTTATATTATGTTTTTCTACTCCCGGGTATAAAATACCTAATTACACACCGATCTAGTGTGCGGAAAGCATGACTTTAACACGTTAGTTTTGTTTCCCATGGATCCGAGCGACTTCGGACATTTCCGCGATTTTACCACACGGGACTTTTGTCAATTCTGACGGCCACATCAGTGAATGTATATTCGTGTTGTTTTGCAAAAGTGCACCCAAAAACTAACGGTCATAGAAAAAGTATAGTATGTAACACGTTCGCTAAACTTTTTAAGTCACTCGTTCCTTAATATTAATATAATAAACTAGTGAGTCAAATGCCCTTTACAGCATTTGTTGCATAATATACTATTATGCTTTTCTAACCAACTTTTTTGTCTTAGTTCTTTATTACATGTGTAAATAGGTAATACTTGACCTCTTGTGCGAATTGTACAATAAAATAATAAAATGATTAACCAGGGTTTAAAAAGAATTAAGAATTGAAGATCTGTTATCACTTAAATAGATTGTATATTACACCCCACTGTCCACTAAGTGTAAATTATATAGAGAAAATATTAACTACAATTATTGTAAGATAGCGAATACCAAGACCGCAGCCATTTTGTTCCCATCGGTTGCAACAAAACCTGCCGCCGATACTACTATTATTTAAAAGTGTGACGGCCTCAGGTCTGATGCCTCGCCCAAAATTAAATGTTAAATAATTGTATTAACGCCCTTTGCTTAGCAAAATAAATCATTTTCTCAGTTGGGAATTATATTCGCGACGCTACAGTTAATTTACATTTGCGAATGCCTGTACGCGAAAAAAAAAGCGAGGAAAACAGTTTCCAAAAATGTTTTAGCATTCAAGCGACCGCCCACAGCAATTTTTTTTTTCATTAGAAAATTTTAGAAATAGGAATTTTTTTCAGATGCTACTTAATTTTAAATAGTTAAATAGTTTTTTCAATATTAGTCATCTTATACCTATTTTAGATACCCTTAACTCAATTTCCGTGAAAATTGTCACTCTTGCTTCTAATTAAGTACAAAAGTCATATCTATCTTATATCTATCTTATCTTATCTATCTATCTTATCTATCT